ACCGGGCTTATTTTGAGGCTCTTGAAAGCCGGAATGACAATAACGGTGGCCACCAGGAACGTGAGTGTATCGAGCCCCAGCGACCCGATCACATCGTACGCCGCATTCGAGCCTAGCTCGGGGCCCACAGCTCGCACCACCACTCTTCTTCGCACGCCAACTTCCCCCACCCCTCTACGTCCTCCGAATCCGTCACCCCCTGTTCTCCGAAGCCCCGGTCCTACCCCCATGCCTTTGAGGAAAGCCCCGTTTGGATTCCCAGCCCCTGCCCGTGAAACAATCCCATTCCGCGTTCCCTGGCTGCTCCGCGCATATGCGTTGTTTACCCTTGTGTCGCCTGTCTTCCCAGCGGTAAAAAATCCCCCACGAGCGGATGAGAGGAGCGGAGTTGGGGCGTGCGCGGAAGGCGACACGCAAAAAATGGCGGAGCGGCAATGGCGGCTGCTGTTACTGCAACAGGCGCTGGTTTCAGCCCCTACGGAACCGCGGGAAAAACCGCTGCCGCTGCAAAAAGAGGCGCCGCTGAGGGAAAAACGGGCCTGCTTATAGGAAGGCGGGGAGGCTGGGCTTACGGTGCTCCATGAATTTAGAGATGCGCGGGAAGGGGGGATTGGAGGGAAGCGAGGAAAAGGAGGGGATGTTGACACCGCAGACGGCCTACAGCACCATTGGCGGGGCAAGGTGCTGTTGGAAGGGTGCATATGTAGGGATAGCGGCGTTGCTGTTGGCGCGTACAACGAAGAGCGGGCATGTACAGGCGACATCAGTTTGACGAAATGTACGGTTGGCGACGAAGAATGCGAAGATCCCCCAAGGGAACGTTCGAATAAAGGAGCTCTACTCCGTCTGCACGGCGACTATTTAGAGATGTTCGGGAAAAGCCGGTCCGCTCACGGAGTAGTGAAACGTGATGTGTGGAAGTCGGTACCTACAGCGTCGAACGTCTTCGTGCGGCGTCTAAACTCGAATCTGCTAGGCAGCTCTCGGAAATGTGGTTAGTGAGACCCACGACTGGCTCGAATGGCCTGTGCTCAGCTTGGTCGATATTGGCGCAATCTTTACATAGGTATGTCTGTAGATTGGTGAAATGTGGTCAGGAAGGGGTTGTGCAGCCAAGGAAAGGAACGGATGCCGGGGGACATCGGGGGAAAAAGCTCTAGCCGTCAATTCGGGATGCTTCTAAATTTGGAGGTTGGAACTTCAAGACACCAGCTTCACTCGTCTCGTTTTGATGAAATGCAAGTGATGAACAAAATTCCTTCGTGCAGTTACACTGATACTCTCCGCTGGGCCTGACGTACAAAAATCAACAGGTAATGTAAGCTGACCAGAAACCGATAGCTACTGACCCAATAAATTTGTGCCCACCTTCGAAGATCTCATGTGGCAACCTGCCAGCCAATCATCTGCAAAAAAACCATGTGGCGATATTCTACTGGTACATCAGAATGGTTTCCACTTTTCCGTGGAAGAGGTGTTTTCTGGTCGTAAAAAATTCATGGACGCCACATCAGTTCAAGCTGTCCGCTTCGCCCCTTCTTTGAATTCTGCTCCTTGTTCACTTCGCGCGGTGATATTTCGCGGGTCCCGTAACACAGTCCGATGTAAGCATGCTCGCTTGCAATACGCGACTGAAACTTGAAGCTACATTCTTTATTGGCGAGGTGAATGTGAAAGCCTTGAATTTCCTGCACACATTTTCCATTAATAACAAGGAAAATGACAAGCCATCACCTAAACACTATCTAGCAGATGCAACTGATTTGTTTTAGTTGCCAGCATCGGCAACTGCAACCGCCACCATGTGCTCAATAAGGTCAATCACACGGTTGCTGCAAGTGCAGGGAGCAAACAGATGGGTATGATTAGTTTGGAGTCAGCATGATGAAAGGCGGCAAAGAAAACAGAAGCGTTATTTTAATTACCTGTAGCCCCACTCGTTGTCATACCAAGACACCAGCTTGACAAAGTTAGGGGTGAGAGCAATTCCTGCCTTAGCATCGAAAATGCTTGACCTGCAATTCTCAGAAGCATCCATCAGATCCAAAGCTTCATGAAATGAAGCAGCAAACATAGCTTTGCACAAAACTGCATGCTTACCTGGGATCACCCAAGAAGTCAGTGGAGACCACATCGTCCTCAGTGTATCCAAGATAGCCCCTCAGGGGGCCCTCAGATGCAGCCCTGCATGCAACGCAAGAAAATCAACATGTTAACCTCATGCCCTTGCAGAACTCGCCGAGAGAAGCTGACATTATGAGGACACTCAGCGTACTTGATCGCTGCCTTGATGTCGTCGTAGCTGGCTCCCTTCTCCAGGCGAACAGTAAGGTCAACCACCGACACATCAGGCGTAGGCACACGGAAGGCCATGCCAGTCAACTTTCCATTCAAAGCAGGAAGGACCTTGCCCACAGCCTGCACTAAAAAAATAGCACAGATGCGTCATTAAGCTTTTGAGCAGATTCACTTCACCTTCACTTCAGTCACAGCCTTTTAGCAGATTTTGTTAGTAAAATTGATATATGTACCGTGAACAAGCGACATTTTACCTTGGCTGCGCCAGTGGAGCTGGGAATGATGTTCTGCGCTGCTCCACGACCGCCACGCCAGTCCTTGGCCGATGGCGCATCAACAGGCTTCTGCGTAGCTGCAGCACAAAGGAACTCATGGTGAATGTAAGACTAGGATCGTCTTAAGCACGAAAGCGAAGGCATCGTTGTTCCGCGAAACTGACCTGTGACAGCGTGGACAGTGGTCATAAGGCCTTCGAGAATTCCAAACTCTTCGTGAACAACCTGTTACGCAGGAATGTGAACAAAAATCGCGTTGAGGGTCAACTTATTCATGGTACGGCATCAATATTACGTGTTCATTGAATCTCTTATTATCTCATGGCTTCCTCACCTTGGCGAGCGGAGCCAGGCAGTTGGTGGTGCAGCTGGCGTTGGAGACAACGTTCATGGTAGGGAGGTACTTGTCGTCGTTGACTCCCATCACGAACATGGGAGCGTCTGCCGAAGGAGCCGAGATCACAACCTTCTTCGCACCAGCCTTAATATGCGCCTCGGCCTTGCCGATGGTAGTAAACACGCCTGTCGGCACAATGACAAAGGTGCATTGCTTAACTCGCCGTTTTGTGCACCGTTACCACAAATGAGCATTTTTTTGTTTCCCTACCTGTGGACTCAACCACGAAGTCGACGCCAGATTCGCCCCAGGGAATCTCAGCTGGGTCCCTGCACATGAAAAGGACCAGTGAGCGTAAGTCACTTCGCGGATTCTTACAAGAATCCGGGATGAAAAACGATCGGAGACTAGATACTGACCTCTTTCCGAAGACAGCGATGGTTTGTCCGTCGATGTTAATGGCGTTCGCGCTCTCAGCGTGAACTTCGCCGGGGTATGTGCCGTGCGAGCTATCGTAGCGGAACATGTAAGCCTGAACAGTGGTGATTGTTACACAAACGAATCAGTACGATCCAACGCTGAATCACAATGTGGAAAACGGAGAGACAAATGACGATGACAGCAGGAAGTCATGGACTAATCATGTTACCATACCATGTAGTCAGTGTCAATGAACGGATCGTTGATACCAACGACCTCCACATCAGGCCTGTCCAAAGCAACACGAAGAACAAGACGACCGATGCGACCGAAACCTGGAAAAGCAACAGCGGATCTTAGCATTCGTGTTGAGTTAACGAATAAACAACGCCGACACACAAAAGTATTAAATGTAGTCCACCACTATGACGCACCATTGATTCCGATGCGGATCTTGCTCTTGCTCTTGGAAGCTGTCACAGTGAAACACATGAAGTTGTCAGCGAACGGTCATTGCTTAACCATACGAATTTTCTCCACCTAGAACTTATTGAAATGGCTCACCAGAATCAGTGGGAGGCTTTTCCGTCGCGATCGCAGCCCTCGTTGCGATGCATCTCGATGACTTCGTTGCCTTCAGGGGCTTGCATGAGCCCACGGGACCGTTGTTCACGCGGAACGATCGAGAAAAGGCCTGACAAAGCAAGAAGGATGTGATGTCAGCAACAGAAGTAAAGAACGTGCGCGAGCAAAAGCGGGTTAAAACCCAGGGTCCACAGGTTTCAAAGGTAGGAAGGTTGGTTGGACTTTGTGCCAAAACCAAAGGTAGGAAGCTTGGTTGGACCTTGTAACCCAACCAAAGGTAGGAAGGATGAGGCAACTTCGGGAAACTTGAGACCCCGGTTTAAGTGGCACAGAGGTTGTAACCCATGAATAGCGTTCCTTTTCATCGAGCTTACCAGCTCAGTGGCATTGCTGGCTTCGGCAACAGTCCTCTTCTCAGATGCCTTTAGCACGGTAGGCACGCGTGCAGAGAGGGAGATCGAGGTGGCCATCGTCACGATCAAGTGCTTCTCTGTTCGCAAAAAGCGTGAAGAAAGGTGGAGGTCAACTGAAAGCGTGAACGTGTAAAAATGAACTCCAGTTCGGTGATATACCTGCTCTCTGGAATGGCACTGATGGGACTTGGCTTGTGATTTTGAAATCCTTCCTCCCTATTGCTTGCATACAAGCGGGAAATCCAACAATTGCCAGTAGGTGCAGACAGTGCATCGAACGGCTCACATGCAATGTTAGCGCGAGAGGAGAGCATTGTCGAGTGCAATCAGGCGACCCGATCACATAGAGAACTGCGCGTGAGTCGAGTGCTATTGGCGCAAGTGACCAAATTACATTTGCGCACGTGTACTACCGCTTTTCGTGGTCCAATGCCCCTTTTACTGGAAGGGGACACATGCCGCTTTTTGAATGCACGGGTGCGGCGGCAAGCTGGGACGTGCGAGTGCTGTGATTCGATATTTTTCTGCGAAATCCGAAGGACGTGGAAGCTGACTTGGCCATCACTGAGTGGACGACAACAACTATCTCGCTGTAGGAGTGAATTCTACTTATGCCTTCGTAAATCTGTGTAGAAGCTATGACGTATTGAAATGACAATCATCTGAAAGCCAATGTCGAGGATAACGGATTTGTCTTGGTGGCTGTGGCAATCCCAAGGTCAGGCACTTCACAACTGGTGTCATGGCTTCAAAATACATACCTTCGCTGAATGCTTCCAGGTCTCATTTTCAAGCGCTGCGTTTCCCGCCATGAATTCAGCTCTCACGACATGGCTCGAGGTGAATCATCCACACTGCGTCGGTGGCCAGTCGCTTCGGCATTGAGTCTAAACGATATCCGACGCGACAGACGCGTATTTCTTCCCCTGGTGCTAATCCTGTTCGTTTTCCTTTTCAGGAACACGGCGCTCGCGTTTCCGGCTGCGAAATTCGTGAATGCTTTTCGAAAGCCTCGCCATCCGTCGTGTCATTCGACTCCGTGTCCTCTGAATCCAAAGTTGATACGATTGATTCACGCGAACCAGGGGATGACACGTCCTGTGGTTGCGCAGCGCTCGCGAGCGAATCGCGTGCTCGTGCAGGCGACGCAGCGATCGGTAGTGAAGGCGACAAAGCAGTTGGGGCCGCAGCAACCAGGGAGGTTGAAGTTGAAGTTGGAGATGCGAGGTTTATTGCGGGTGATTGCCAGTCAGCCAGTGCTGGATTTGGCATTTTCCTGTCAAGATCGGATGCGGATGAGAGAACGTATACCGTCGATGGAGGTCCGTCCGTTTGACTTTCTTGCATGTGAATTGCCGTGAATGGATCATAGCTCGTGATGTTGCACTGCCCGATACCTTGCCAATCGTGGCTCCAAATCTCCGCCACCAATTCCCTGTTTCTATCATTCAGTTCCCCCTCCATTTTAACCCTAAGTCATTCCCCCCTTACGCCATCCCCTTACGCCATCCCCCTATGTCATCCCCTTACACCATCCCCCCCTACGTCATCTCCCCCCCATAGACAGAGTGCTCATCTCCGTGCCATTGTCTCTCCTTCTCTCCGCGCCCACGGCCCTGCAAGACCCCCTCTACGGCGCCTCTCTGCGCTGCCTGCACTCCCAGGGCCTGCTGGACCACCGCATGCTTGTGCTGCTCCTGCTGCTGCTGCACCGCTGCCACCAGAAACAACGCTCCTGTTGGGCTCCGTAAGTCCTTCTGTGCGACTTTCCTGGCACCCTCTCTCTCCCTGCGCTGCCTGCACTCCCAGGGCCTGCTGGACCACCGCATGCTCGTGCTGCTGTTCCTGCTGCTGCACCGCTGCCACCAGAAAGAACGCTCTTTCTGGGCTCCGTAAGTCCTTCTGTGCGACTTTCCTGGCACCCTCTCTCTCCCTGCGCTGCCTGCACTCCCAGGGCCTGCTGGACCACCGCATGCTCGTGCTGCTGTTCCTGCTGCTGCACCGCTGCCACCAGAAAGAACGCTCTTTCTGGGCTCCGTAAGTCCTTTTGTGCGAATTTCCTGGCACCCTCTCTCTCTCTCTGCGCCGCCTGCACTCCCAGGGCCTGCTGGACCACCGCATGCTCGTGCTGCTGCTGCTGTTGCACCGCTGCCACCAGAGAGAGCGCTCTTTCTGGGCTCCGTAAGTCCTTGGTGAGGCTTTCAGTCGAGGCTTTCAGCAAAATAGCTTGCTGCTGCAATGATGCCACCAGTGAGACCTCTCCCTCTGGGCTCTGTAAGTCCTAGGCTTTCAGTCGAGGCTTTCAGAAACTCAACAAAGTAGCTTGCTGCAATGCAATGTTGCCACCAGTGAGACCTCTCCCTCTGGGCTCTGTAAGTCCTAGGCTTTCAGTCGAGGCTTTCAGAAACTCAACAAAGTAGCTTGCTGCAATGCAATGTTGCCACCAGTGAGACCTCTCCCTCTGGGCTCTGTAAGTCCTTGGCTTTGAGTCGAGGCTTTCAGAAACTCAACAAAGTAGCTTGCTGCAATGCAATGTTGCCACCAGTGAGACCTCTCCCTCTGGGCTCTGTAAGTCCTAGGCTTTCAGTCGAGGCTTTCAGAAACTCAACAAAGTAGCTTGCTGCAATGCAATGTTGCCACCAGTGAGACCTCTCCCTCTGGGCTTTGTAAGTCCTTGGCTTTGAGTCGAGGCTTTCAGAAACTCAACAAAGTAGCTTGCTGCAATGCAATGTTGCCACCAGGGAGACCTCTCCCTCTGGGCTATGTAAGTCCCCAAGAGCCTGACTCAACTCAGGGTTCTTAAGAATTCTGAGGGATCGTCAGTGGATACACCGGGCACAGGGGCGGTGGCTCCCCTTTTCCTCATAAACCTCAGGGGAATTTGCGTTGTGCTTGACTCTTTCGTGAACCCGCCCTCGCCTTTTCCTCTCCCCCGCGGCCCGCCCCAAGCACCTGTCTGCAGGTATCTCTCTGTCGAAATCAACAGACAGGAATGATTGAACTAGCAGTGAAATCAGTACAAGTACCTAACCCTAGAATTGTGTACCCCCTATAGGCTAACCCACTGTAGCCTAAACAAACACAACATATATAATGTTTGACACACCCCCATAGGCAAAGTGGGGGAGAGCAAGGGGTCACAAGACCAGTCAAAGCAAAGCAAAACAAGCTCAGGGTGGATCTCAAGGATACCACACAAATTCCGAGCACAAGCAAGTGGTCACAAGACCAGTTCACATGCAGGTTGATAATATAGCAAGAGATACAGTGATCACAACCTAGCAAAAGTAAACATGCAGGCATATATATAAAGATCACAGTACAAACAGAGTCAAGAAGTAAGTAAGTGAGGTCCAGCAGGCACAAGGCCTAGAAGAGTACAGAAACGCTGATGGTCACAAGGCTGAAGCGCCTTGGTGAACACATCAGCAAGGTTGGCCTCAGTGGCCACGTAACGCAGACGAAGCTGACCACGCTGCTGCAGCTCTCGAGCAAGGAAGTACCGCAGGGCGATGTGCTTCGTTCTGTGCTCCAGTCTGTGCTCCTCACACAAGGCAATGGCAGCCTGGTTGTCGACGTACAGCACTGGAAGAGAACGAGGCCGCTCTCCCAAGTCGGTCAGCAGGTAGGTCAGCCAGCGTAGCTCCTGGGCAGCCATGGCTGTGGCGTAGATCTCAGCCTCACAACTGGAGCTGAGAACAGAAGAAGAGCGTGTAGAACGCCAAGAAACTGAGCCGGAGCCAAGACTGAAGGTGTAACCCTGAGACGACCGCTGAGTAGCCTGGTCGTCCGCCCAAGAAGCGTCTGAGTGTCCAGTAAGTACAACTCGGTCTCGCCCTCCAAGCACTAGCCCCATGCCCGACGTACTGCACAAGTAGCGCAACACCCTCTTAGCGGCATCCATGTGCTCCTTCCTGTGATGGCCAGGAGCGACATAGCGTGCAAGGATGCTAAGAGGGTATGCAAGGTCAGGTCGAGTGCAGGTCATCAGGTACATGAGGCAGCCCACAAGCTCTGGATACGGGCCACTCGGCTCTACGGACTCATCCGAAGGCAGAGCTGAGAGCGAGTGACCGGTAGGCAGAGGAGTGGACTGAGGTGAGGAGTACGTGAAGCGGAAGCGCTGAAGGATCTGCTGCACCATGTGTGACTGAGTCAAGGTGATGGTGCGCCGTGCTCTGTCCCGGGTGATCCGCAAGCCAAGATAGCTTGTCAGTTCACCTAGGTCTGTGCACGTGTGTCTCCTCTGCAGCTCCGACTTCACGTGGGCGAGTGCCGCGGTGTCAGCAGTGGCAAAGACCAAGTCGTCGACGTACACGAGGATGTAGAACGGCAGCAGTGAGGTGTCTGTGCGTAGAAACAGTGACGGGTCAGCAGTAGAGGGAGCGAACCCAAGAGCCGCAAGTGTCGTCCTCAGTGTGTCGTGCCACTCACGCGGTGCCTGGCGGAGACCGTAGACCGGCCGCTGAAGCCTCCACTGGGTACCAGGAGGAACCGACCCAGTGAAGCCAGGTGGGCGGCGCAGCCAGATCTCCTCGTGCAGGCTGCCCTACAAGAAAGCAGTGCTGAAGTCAAGTGAGTGAAGCTCGTAGTCGCGCTGAGCGGCTATGTGCAGCAGCACCCGAAGAGTGGTCATCTTCGGGGTGGGGGAGAAGGTCTGAAAGAAGTCTACTCCCTCTCGCTGACTGAAGCCTCGAGCCACGTAGCGCGCCTTCAAGACAGGTTGAGAACCCGGTGGCCACTTCACCCTGAAAATCCACATGCCACTGACGATGTTCGCCCCAGGTGGGGGAACCTCGTCGACGTAGGTGCCTGTGGACTTCCAAGAAGCCATCTCTGCGTCCATGGCTGTCTGCCACTGAGAGGAGTAGGGACCCGCCATCGCCTCAGCGTAAGTGCGCGGGGTCGGGATGTCTGGTGCATCCGGGTCTCCCTCAGGGGCAACTAGCATGGACACGAGGTGGGGTAAAGCAGCAGCAAAGCACTGGAACTCCTCCTGTCTGTCCTCAAGGACGTCCGTGCCAAGAGCACACTCACCCCCGACGGACGGAGGACAGACAGACTCAGACTCAGACTCAGCAACAAGGCTAGTGGCGTAGTCTAGACGACACCGGGCAGCAAAGTCTATCAACTCAGCGACCAGAGCAGACGCAGCAGAGGACTCAAAGGTAGGGTCAGTGACAACAGTAGCGAGGAGACGGGTGACAGTGGGACTGGCAGCACGACGGGAGTCAGACTCCGGATCAGGAAGAGTAGGCAGAGAGGACGCAGGAGGAGACGGCAGCGGAACACGCTGAGGAGCAGTGGAGGGACGCAGAGTCATGTAGTGAGTGCCAGGAACAGGAGGAGGACGCTCACGTGGGACACGACGACCAGTGCGAGCAGTACGAACAGGCGACGCAGGACGAGACTCAGGCTGACGACGCTCTGTAAGACCTCCTGTGGGACCAGTGTAAGGAGAGGGACCAGGGAGAGGCGAGGCAGGCGGGAACTGTGACTGCGACTGGACAGGCGGAGGACACTCTACGGAGGGAGGAGGACAAGGAGGAGGAGCCTGACCAAGAACCTGCTGAAGAAGTGGTACGAAGTACGGTCGCGGCCGCGTAGCGTCTCCAGAACCAGCAGAGACACCAGCGGCGGGGTCCTCAGCACCAGCAGCAGCTCCAACGTCCGGGTCCTCAGCACCAGCAGCAGCTCCACCGCTCGGGTCCTCAGCACCAGCAGCAGCTCCACCGTCCGGGTCCTCAGCTCCAGCAGCAGCGCCACCGCTCGGGTCCGCAGCACTAGCAGCAGCTCCAACGCCCGGGTCCTCAGCACCAGTAGCAGCGCCACCCTCAGGGTCCGCAGCACCAGGAGCACCACTCCGAAGACTGCAGCGCCGCGTGTACCACTCTCGGATCTGCTGAATGGGGGGGAGCTCCTGGGCAGGAGGGGAAGTACTGGTACGAGCTCCAGTAGCACCTCTCCGGAGGCGGCAGTACTGTAGGTACCGCTCCTGCAGCTGCCGGGAGGAGAGGGCTCCTCCAGGTGTAGCACGCTCAGGCTCAGCACCCCCAGACTCAGCACCCCCAGACTCAGCACCCCCAGGCTCAGCACCCCCAGACTCCGCACCTCCAGGCTCAGCACCCCCAGGCTCCGCACCCCCAGGCTCCGCACCCTCAGGCTCAGCACCCCCAGGCTCCGCACCCCCAGGCTCCGCACCCCCAGGCTCAGTACCCTCAGACTCCTCACGGTCAGGCTCAGCACCCCCAGCAGGACGAGAGTCAACAGCTACCTCGACAGGCTCAACCGGGTCTACCTGGGACACACCTGAGGGAGCGGCACCCTGAGGGGGGAGGGGGTCTGGTACCTCAGCACCTGGAGCGAGGAAGAGAGGCGGGGGGGGGAGCGGGGCAGTGCGGTAGGGGAAGAGGCGGTAGTAGGGGACGGACTCGTCAAAAGTGACGTCCTGAGAGGCCAGGACACGACGCGAGGTGGCGTGGTAGAACTGCCAACCAGGGGCGTCCGGGACAAAGCCAAGGAAGACACAGGGGACAGCTCGACGGGAGAGCTTGTCCGCGGACGTGTCGCGAACAAAAGCTCGAGATCCCCAGACCCGAAAACGCGACGCATCGCCAGCCTCTCCCGTCCAACGCAGTGTCGGAGAAGTCTCCGGTAAGGAGACACGGGGCCAGAGGTTGAGCTGATGCGCAGCGTATCGGACTGCAAACGGCCACAGAAAGTGGGGGGCAGCCGCATGAACCAAGGAGGTACGAGCGACCTCCATGACCAAGCCAATGCGGCGCTCAGCAACCCCATTCTGCTGTGGAGAGGCCGGAAGCGTGAACGACTGCTCAATGCCCTCCTGCTGACAGAAGGCCTCCAGGAGGCTAGAGGAAAACTCCCCACCTCTGTCAGAGTGCAGACGCAGGACAGGGAAGTCGGAGCGGAAACGCTCACTGAGCTGGAGACGAGATCTGCGGATCCAAGGGATCAAGACATCAGGGACGTCACCCTTGGTGCGCAAGGGGAAGACCGTGGTGTAGCGCGAGAAGTCGTCAACAACAATCAGGAAGTACCTCTCCTGACCCTGACCACGGACTCGGGCTGGGCCCCACACGTCCATGTGGAGCGTCTGCAAAGGAGCAGTCGTCGGGGGGAAGGAGGAGGAGTGAGGAGCGGCGCGCTGCCGCCCCTCGACACAGGGAAGACAGGGAGGAGCAGGCGAGGGTGGGAGAGGAGGGAGAACCCTGGGAAGACCAGCAACAAGGTCCCGTTTGTGCATGGCCCGAAGGCGCTGCACAGACGGGTGACCAAGGCGGTGGTGCCAGAGGACAGTCTCATGCGCCAGAGAGCGACACGAGCAGGGGGCGGACAGCTGACCTGACACAGACGCAGACGCGGACGCAGCTACCTGAGGGGACTCAGTGGTCAGTGTGTACAGGTCCGACCCCGGCTGCCGAGTGAAGGTAGCCAGGTGACGGCCCGTCCGAGCACACGTGCAGTGGGTCACGCGCTCGTAAGCAGGGGTGAACTGGTGAACACCCCCGTCCTGGAGCGCACTACCTACCACCAAGTTCGTAGAGAACGAGGGGAGGTAGAGACCTGACAGTGTGCCTGACGGGACCGCAGGACAAGGAAGGACAGTGGAGGAGGTCGCAACGACCGGACCCCCAGAGGGGTCAGCGAGGGAGACAGCAACTGGCCGAGCAAGCGGCTCAAGGACAGTGCGGTCACGAAAGAAACAGCGAGAAGCACCTGAGTCCAGTGTGAAGGTGTGCAGTGCTGCAGTCGACTCAGTACCAGAGGGCACGGACTCACTAGCACCTAGAGCAGCAGCCTCACCAGGACCTGGGGCAGCAGTCTCACTAGCACCTAGAGCGGCAGCCGGACTGGTCAGAATGCCCGGGTCGGGCGGAACACGCAAGTACTGAGCACCCTCTCCACTAGTAAACATCGCATACATGGCAGTGAGAATAGCATCAAAGTCTAAAGCCCAGATATCAACTCCCTTCTTCTCCAGATCAGCCCAGCGGGGCAGGTCAGTGGCATCAGGAAACTGGGCACGCCACGCGTCAGTAAGGCGCGCGAAACAGCGCTGTGTGGGATGCGGCCTCCCACACTGCTGGCCAGTGCGGTCACCAGTGCGAATGACGTACGTGCAGGTAAAGCCACGCTGCGCATACCACTCACGGGCGGCCTGAAGCGACGGGGCGGGCTGCTGACTCTGGCCACCGCCAGCGCCTCCACGACCACCACTGCCGCCGCCACCGCCTCGGCCACCTCCACCCCTGCCGCTGCCACGACCACCTCCGCCTCCGCTGCCGCCTCCACCCCTGCCGCCACTCCCGCCGCTGCTGTCACCACCCCCACTGCCGCCACTAGCCTCCCCAGCCGCTCCTCCACTCCCACCGCCTCCACCCCCACCTCCTCCGCCGCCACCTCCACCCTTGCCCCCTTTGCTCTTGCGGCGCCCGCTCGAAGCAGACGCGGCCCCGACCTTCCCAGCACCAAGGAGGTCGACAGCAGCAGCAGAGGCGACAGAGGGGAGGAGAGGGGCAGGCGCTGCAGCGGGCGACGAGCGGGCGGCAGCAGCAGCGAGCGACGAGCGGGCGGCAGCTGCAGCGAGCGACGAGCGGGCGGCAGCAGCAGCGGGCGACGAGCGAGCGGCAGCTGCAGCGGGCGACGAGCGGGCGGCAGCAGCAGCGGGCGACGAGCGAGCGGCAGCTGCAGCGGGCGACGAGCGGGCAGGCGCTGCAGCGAGCGACGAGCGGGCGGCAGCAGCAGCGAGCGACGAGCGGGCGGCAGCTGCAGTGGTCGACGAGCGGGCGGCAGCTGCAGCGGGCGACGAGCGGGCGGGCGCTGCAGCGGGCGGGCGGCAATGTGCAGGCCGGCGGGGCCGCTGCGGGCTGCGCTATAGCGGTGCGAGCGGCGCACGGGCGGCTAGCCGGTCGCGCTCAAAAGAAATCGGCCGCGCGCGGGCAGCTAGCGGGTCGCGCGCGGTTATAAAATAAAAGAAAAACGAGCCGCGCGCGATTGGCTGGCGGGCTGCGCGCGCGCGGTAGGTAGGAGGCGCACTGGGGCGCGTAGGCGCACGAGGGCGCACGGTAGGTAGGTAGGTAGCGGTGGGCCCTAAGAACGGTCCTAGCGAAGGACCTGCTCTGATACCATGTCGAAATCAACAGACAGGAATGATTGAACTAGCAGTGAAATCAGTACAAGTACCTAACCCTAGAATTGTGTACCCCCTATAGGCTAACCCACTGTAGCCTAAACAAACACAACATATATAATGTTTGACACTCTCCTGCCTGCCGCAGTTCTTTGACTCGCCTCTGTGGTTCGACTAGGCAACACTCGAGGAGCTGCGAGGTGGGAAGTTTGCCCTTCTCGCCTCGCCCACAAACATACGCATGCCTGTTTCTCTTCCTCCGTCCCACACACCTGCCTGCAGCTATCTCTCGTGCCTGCCGTAATGCTTCGACTCGCCTCTCTGGTTCGACCAGGCCACATTTGGAGGAGCTGCGAGGTGGGATAGTTGACCCTCTTGCCTCTCTTACGAACCCATACTTGCCTGTTCCTCTCATCCTCCGCCCCACGCACCTGTCTGCAGCTACCTCTCCTGCCTGCCGCAATGCTTTGACTCACCTCTGTGGTTCGACCAGGCAACACTGGAGGAGCTGCGAGGCACTCCTCTCTACGACGCTGCATGTGCACAGGTAAGCCTTGAAACATGAACTCGCACGAGTGCGGAGGACACTTGTAAATCTGTATGGATGGAAAGGGCAAGTGTAACCCTGTAAGAGTGCAGAGTGCAATGTAATGCTGGAAGGGGAGCAGATGGAACCAATCGTTATGGCTGCGGAGGGCTGACTAATTAGAGAGTGCCGCAACACGTCCAATTCTGAATTCTCTGCTCCTCGTGTTTCCAAATGCGTCTGCACCTTCAGAGGGCCAACTTGAGGCGAGTGTACGAGGAGCAGGTGGAGCCGATCTTTACTGCGGTGGTGGCCGAAGCAGAGGGCGAGCAGGGGAGTGGCGACGCCTCTAGCGGCATCTCCTTGGACGATTTCCTCTGGTACGAGAACGGGAACTTGTCTTTCAAGTTTTACTTCGCCCTCTAGTTCTCGTTTTCTCCCTCTTACGCATCAGACTCTCTTCTCTGACCTCACTCTTTCCCCTCCAGCTGACCACTGCCACTCGTCCTCTCCTTCCACTTGCCGCTTGCGTTCGTTCCTAACTTCTGAACCGACTGAAACGCTGCCTACCCATTCCCACTCCCTCCCTGCCCTACTGGCCGTTTGTGCCTCCTCTCCCCCATTCTCGCGCTCCTTCCCTCTACCCTTCTCTCTCTCATGCATCCACGTCACTCTTATGCATCTACGTCCCTATGAATCACTCATTCAGGGCCAATTCCATCTTCTGGTCGCGAGCCCTCACCCTTCCACTGACTCCCTGCCTCTCTGCCTACGCCAACGACGCTGCTGCCGATGCTGGTTCCCCCACTGGTGCTGCTGCTGCTGCTGTTGTTCATGCTGATGCTGATCCTGCTGCTGATAGTGCCAATACTGCCGATGCTGCTGACACCCCTCCTGCATCGTCCCCATCACACAGTCTAGAGGCGATTGTCCCGGGAGTTGACTTCTGCAACCACTGTACGTCACCTGATCAGATGAGTCAGTGTTTTGTCTAAAATACTCGAGCCGACTCGTCTGGACTCTCCATGACACTGTCTAGAGGCGATTGTCCCGGAGTTGACTTCTGCAACCACTGTGCGTCACCTCATCCTCCCTGCAACTCCTGCATGACACTTCTATTGCTGCTGCTGCAGCGGCTGCTGCTTGTGACTCCACTCCAGCGTCCTCCCCATCACACTGTCTAGAGGCGATGGCCCCACACTGCCACCACTGTGGTTCACCTCATCTTCACTGCCGCCCAGTTTCTTGCCTTACTTTCACTATGTACCTACAGTCTCCTCAGCCCAGTATGCTTTTTTAACCCTTTACTTCTCTCCTGGTCTCTTTTGTCCGATTTTCTCTCCCTTCCTTCAGCCCTTCTGCCCTGTGCTCGATGGGAGGTCCTCACAGCAAGCCAGCTCACCAGCTCCCCCGGGAAGAACGGCAGTGGGGAAGAACACAAGAGGAGGGCTGAAATTGAACGGAGGGGAGATGGGGCAGTAGCAGGTTCAGCGTCAGGCTCACAGCCACTGCAGCAGATGGCCAACTCTGATGCTGTGTGCTTGCTGCAAGGTGATGCTCGTAGAGAGTGAGTTCCGCCTCGTCGCATCTTAAATGTGTCAATTGGCAGAGCAACACTGGAAAGTGTCACTTATTACCATTACCATTAACATCTGCCATGCCCATTACCATTACCATCAACATGCCCATCACCATTACCATTACCGTCAACATGCCCATTACCATTACCATTAACATCAGCCATGCCCATTACCATTACCATTAACATCCGTTCCGCCATGCCTATTACCATTACCATTAACATCCGTTCCGCCATGCCCATTACCATTACCATTAACATCCGTTCCGCCATGCCCATTACCATTACCATTAACATCCGCCATGGTCATTACCATTACCATTAACATCCGTTCCGCCATGCCTATTACCATTACCATTAACATCCGTTCCGCCATGCCTATTACCATTACCATTAACATCCGTTCCGCCATGCCTATTACCATTACCATTAACATCCATTCCGCCATGCCCATTCCCATTACCATTAACATCCGTTCCGCCATGCCCATTACCATTACCATTAAAATCCACCATGCCCGTTACCATTACCATTAAAATCCACCATGCCCATCACCATTACCATTAACATGCCCATTACCATTACCGTTAACATCCGTTCCGTCATGCCCATTACCATTAACATCCACCTTGCCCGTTACCTTTACCATTAACATGGCCATTACCATTACCATTGACATGGCCATTACCATTACCATTAACATCCGCCATGCCCATTACCATCAATCCAGCCCCCTCTCGCCCCCACCCATCTTGTTCCCTCTCCCTCGCACTCTTTTGCACTGCCCAACGCCCTTTGGGCCGTGTCATGTCGACATTCTGGAGGCGCCTCAATTCAGATGCCACCATTTGTTCCCAGTACCACTTGAGTCAACTCGGAATGACTTTTTTAGTCCAACACAATTATCTCGTTGTTGAGCCGCCTGAAAAGCCACCATCTGTTCCTCAACCCCCACACTCGTCTGCACCCCTTTTCCACCCCTCCCAACCCATTACCGTGCAGTGGTGCCTCCGGTGGGGGGCAACGAGGTTACCATCAGCTATGGAGAGAAGGGAAACGAGGTGAGAGTGATAGATGTAGGGGAATATCTCCTTTTCCTTGAGAAGTAGGACAATGTGCATGTTCTGCAGTTGCATTTGGGTCTTTCTCTAGGCTCACTCGCTCCCTCCCTTTCTTCCTCTCTCCGCGTCCACTCCTCATCCTACCACCGCCAGGAGCTTCTGTTTCCCTCACATGCCTCTGCCCCACACCTCACGCCTCTGCCCCACACCACACGCCTCAATGCACATACCTCTCCTCGCTGCTTTCACACCAGGAGCTTCTGTTTCTCTACGGCTTTGCAATTCCCAACAACCCCCACCAGCGCCTTATGGTATGCCCAACCTCACACGCCTCTGCCCCACACCACACGCCTCAATGCACATACCTTTCCTCACTGCTCTCACACCAGGAGCTTCTGCTGCCATTCCCAACAACCCCCGCGAGCGCCTCACCTTTTGCCCAACCACACATGCTTCTGCCTCCCTGCACGTGCATGCATGCTGCCTCTGCGTCAATGCACATACCTCTGCCATCTCACACAAGCCGCTTCCCCATCACACATACCGCTGCTCCCACATCTCTCCTGCTCCTCTGCTGCTGAATGCGCGTCCTGCATTCTTCCTTCCACTCACCTCCTCTCTTCGCCTGCCTTTTCACCTCCATTTCCTTTACCTTTTTCGCCTCTCACAGCTCCTCTTTTTGCTTCCACTTCCGTTGCCCTCTGTTGCCCTCCAGCTCAACTACCCCCCGGCTCACCTTCAGGAAGACCCACGCGCTGATACCAAGCTACAGCTCTTAGCCGTGCAGGTACAAACGAATCAGCTGCTATCGAGTCAGGTACTGGCACGTCAGCCATGGATAATACAGGTCCCGGGCTTTTCTTTTACATTCTGCATTGATCCATTCAGGGTGCCTCTTAAACAACAGTCCCATAGCATTTTCAAACTTGATTGCAACACCTGTGCTGCCAGTCACTTCCTCTCGCCTACGTCTGTTTTCATGCTCTGTGCCCCTTATAGGACCTCTCGCTACAATGGATCATTCCGCGTCCTTCCAAGTTTCCCATCAATGCTCGCCAGAAGCAGGGGCACGATGAGAAGCAGGGGCAGCAGGTGCTGCAACAGAAGCAAGCACAGCATGGAGAGCAGAATGAGGAGGAGGGTGAGGAGGAGCAGGAGTCTGAGCGAGGGGATGTGTTTCCCTCTAGCATGATGGCAGCTCTGCGAGTGCTCTCACTCACCGAACCCCAGGTGGAGGCTGCCACGTCAGCACTCCTGGAGGTACGTGGTGCTGACGTGGAGTATGGTATGCATGTGCCACGTGGCGTGTTTTATCGTTTGAATTTCAAAGGTTACTTGCTGCCACCACAGTAATTGCCCGACTCAACCTGGTCCCCTTTCTGTCGACCCCGCCTAATAGCTGTAGGGACGGCGTTTCTGTGCCCTGCAGAAGCAAGTTGACTTTTGAGCCGACTCAAAAGTCAACTTGCTGTAGCGGTGGCGTTTCTGTGCCCTGCAGAAGCAGCCATATCGAGATTTTTCTGAAGTTATCCATTCCCGTTTCAACCACAATTCAGCGCAAGGCAGCAGCAGGGGCGGGGCCTCTAAGCCCTGCAGATGCACGAGAGGCAGTGAGGGGGGCAGCAGGGGGCGATGCAGAGGCACTAATGTTGTCTCACCAGCGACAAAACCAACCATCACCACCCATCACATCCCTTCCTTTCTTCCCTGCATCACAGCGCAAGGCAGCAGCAGGGGCGGGGCCTCTAAGCCCTGCAGATGCACGGGAGGCAGTGAGGGGGGCAGCAGGGGGGGATGGACAGGCGCTGCTGCTGCTGCAACAACTGCTGCAGCAAAGGTGAGGGCTGGTGAAAGTAAGGGGCGGTGAGTCGGGGGTTAGGGATGGCGAGTCGTGGGACAGGAGTGACGAGTCAAGGTTCAGGTTTGGTGTTCTAAGGGCAATTTTTGAGACGTCTCAAAAGTGTTCCAAGGGCCACGGTAAGCCATTCACTGCAATGCTCTCCTGAAATCCTTCACTATCTCCCCTGCCCTTCACCACTCTCTTCCCCCGCCCCACTCTTTCCCCTGCCCCTGCCCCTGCCCCTGCTCACGGGCTCGACAGCATGGTGGATGGCACAGGGACCGCTGAAGAAGACACTGCATGGCTCGCTGCACATGCACAGATTGATGAGCCGAATTCACCTCACATCCTCCCCTCTCCCTGCTCACAGGCTTGACAACATGCTGCAGAGTACAGGGACCGCTGAAGAAGACTCTGCATGGCTCACTGCACATGCGCAGATTGATGGGCATGATAAGAGGTGCGCCTGGCTTAGTGTCCGCACCACACAAGTTGTTAAGCACTGGTCCAGCATGTGCCACGTGTCCATGTGCCACGTGTCCATGTGCCACCTGTGCATGTGCCACCTGTGCATGTGCCACCTGTGCATGTGCCCAGCACAAGAGTCTCTGTGCATCTTACTGTGCATCCTACACTGCATCGTACTGTGCATGGGTTTAAGCTTTTCTAACTCCCCGTCTCCACTGACTTAGACCAGTGGTACCTATGTGCCCCCATCCCCCCCTCTTCGTACTCATCCCTCTGTGCAGCATGCGGCACAAGGCTCTCTGTGTGGTCTATCGCCTGGGCCAGAAGCTACTGGTAACACGAGTTCCGACTCCATTGACTGTACTTGTACTATGTGCACCCTCCCCTCTGCATACTCATCCCTCTGTGCATGCAGCATGCGGCACAAGGCTCTCTGTGTGGTCTATCGCCTGGGCCAGAAGCTGCTGGCTCAAGAGCTGCTCACACGAGTTGGCTCATGCATTTGAAGTAATCAGGCGGTACAAGCTGTATCGCCCAACCTAGCAGCAACTGCTGTACTGACCACTCATTTCTGGCATGTGACAGACATTTTTTAAAGGCTTAGAGGGTTGGTGAATAATCAACAAACAGCGCGGTGTTCTGCAAGCACCAGCTTTGCACAATTCAATCAAGAGTGTTACGGTGGTACGGTATATCATTGCAGGCAAGCAATTCACATGAATGGAGGCAATCAACCACATCTCTTCCTAGCCTTACCTGCACGGCCCTAATCACTACTACTGTCATCGAAGCGTTGACAGAACGTTGTTCCCTAGCCTAGTCTAGCCTAGCTGCATGTCGCCTCGACTGCTGCAGCTATTCAGGAGCTTCAAACTTTCCAGGAGGGATGAGAGAGGAGTCAGTGGGGGACAGTCCGTGTCCGAGGCATGCATCAGGGGGGACCACCAGGTCAGTTGGCATGGATGGCAGCAGATCTGTTCGCATGGGTTCCTGCAGGTCAGCTGTTATTGGCGCTGCCATGTCAGTTGGCATGGCGGCTGCTACCTCAGTTGGCATGGGGACCGGCATTCAGTTTCATGAAGATAGCGTAGAGAAGAGCGTTGGGGTCCCCCAAAGGCAGGTCGTATGGTGGAGTGAACACCTGAGTGGCGTTCACTGTAGGGCCCATGGTTACAGTGCCAGCAGCAGCTGCAGTTGCACCTGCCCCAGCTGCACCTGCACCTGCCCCAGTTGCACCTGCCCCAGCTGCACCTGCAGCTGCCCCAGCTGTAGCTGTCGCACTTGCATCTGCCGCTGCCCCAGGTGCAGGCTTGATAACGTTGGTGGTGTTGGTGGTGTTGCTACCTGCTTCCGCAACTATGCCAGGAGGGACAGATGTGGTGTTCGCCACCACTTGTACTGAATCAGGTCCGCTTATAAAGAGGTTGCTCTGTAGCAACACCTGAGCAGCCGCCCTGGCTTCCACTGCGCTCCCAGTCCAGTTGGTGTAGAGATTATTTGCCACGTGGCACTTGCCTAGTCTGCATATTGGCTGCATCGCAGATAAAGACTGAAACCAGTTCCTGTAGACGGTGACGTTCATATCGCGGTTAATCCCGTCGCTGTCGGATTGGCCCAGGTGGAGTGCCGAGCCTGTCCCCGAGCCTGGGCTTGCCGAGGCAGTGACGGTTTGCGTGCCGAGCGTGCCAGAGAAGAGGTTGTTTGAGATGGTAACCGCGGTGCTGTTACGGGCGAGCTCGATAGCAGGGAGGGTGGCTGAGAGGTTGGAGAAGCGGCAGTGGTCGATCCAAGTGCTGCTGGTGTTGTAAAGAGAGATGGTTGCAGGGGACGTTCTGCTGCTGGAAACTGCAAGCACGGATTGGGGGGTGGAGAAACACAATGGTATAGGTTTAGCTGGTGTAGATTGGGATGGCAAAGAGTGTTAGGTGGCATTGGGTCGGGGCATGGTGCTAGAGAGGAAAATTCGAAGTGCATGAGAAACATTTTATGAAGCATGGCCCACGACTTACATTCAATGTTATGAATGATGACTTGCGTTGAGTGTTGCACCAGCAGACTGTCTCCCACAATTTTCACGTTGGCCCCTCGCCCATCCAGAGTCATGAACGATTTCACATATAGCGGCGCCATTAGTTGAATTGTCATATCCCGTGCGAAAGTAATAACAGCGCCAGTTTTGTAGAAATTCGAAATGCCCCACCGAAGCGAACCCTGTCTTGTATCGGATGTCGAATCCTCCTCTAGAGTGACCACGTATGTGGATTTTCCAGCGCCACCAACCAAACCCGGAGCGGCGAAACCCATCGCGCAACTCCCAAGGGCGATTCCGGCACCCGCGGTGGAATACTGGCAGTCGTTCGAACTCGGAGGCGACGGTGCTGTAACGGTGCTGTTACCACCAGTAGTGCTGTTACCAGCAGTAGTGCTGTTACCAGTAGCAGTAGTGTTCGCTGTCGCAGGAGGAGTGGTGGGGGATGGGGTCGGCGGGGCAGGCGGAAGGAACTGTCCCGAAGCAGGGGGCAGTGCGGAATCGACGTCATACTTGGGACCGCAGTTGATTCTCAAAATACCCGCCATCTGACGCGGGTTCCGCGGCAGCGTCAGCGTGTAGGGCGGCGTGAAGATCGGAGTGGGGCCGGCATACGCCGTCTTATTAAACGTCGCGCCTCCAGCCAAGTAGTCTTGGAACGACGCGATAGTAACGGTCGCGTCGGACCAAACATCTGTGGCCGGCATTCCTCTATACCACGGCGTCACCTCCAGTCGCGCGGACCCCGGCGCCGGCCGGAAAAAGTTCTTCTCTGACCGGATCTGCGCGCCGCGGCGCGCGGCGAGGCAGTAGTAGGACCAGTGGGTGTAGAGGTTGTTTGCCACGTGGCAGCGGCCCTTGCGGCAGAGCGGTTGCATGGAGCCGGACGTGTTGAACCAGTTGCGGTAGATGGTGACTCGCATATTCTTGTCCGCGTCTTCTGTGTCAGACAAGCCGAGCTGCGAAGGGGAGAAAAGGAAGAGGGTGGGAGGGCCGGGGTATAGGTTTCAGAACGGGATGAAGTGGGGAAAGGAGCACCAGAAATGTTCCGATTTTCTGGACTAGTTGTTTTTTGCAAATGTATTATCAGCCGGGGTACGAGTGCATTTACCGGTATCATCAGCCCCACGGGGTGCTCCTATTACCTGCATCGTCTGCCCGCGGCTGCTGATGTAGCAGTTCGAGATGGTGACGTCAGTGGAGCCCCTTGCCACGTCGACCGTGCCCGTGAGGGCGTCCTGCAGGCGGCAGTGGTCGATCCACACGCGGCTGCTGTTGTAGATGGGAATCAAATCGCCGCGAGGGTTACCCGATACTGTTACAATAATGGAAGCACACAAGGAGGCAGAAAAGGGACACGGGAAATTCGACTAAGATTGAGTGTGTAGTAATGGAGGAGCAAGAGACGGAGAGGCGAGGGATGATCGGACAAAAGAGGACGGGGAAAGAGAAGAAGAAAAGGTGCGAAAGTGTATCCAGAGACCTAGAGCGGCACCGTACCTTCGATGTTGTGAATGATGACGTCATTCACGTTCTGCAGGACGATGCTGCCATTGGTGATGCGCACGTGCACGCCGCGCCCGTCGATCGTAACGCGCGAACGCAAAAACAGGTTACTCTGCAGCACGATCTCCATGCTTCGCGAAAACGTGATGATCACTCCGTCGGGGAAGTTCATCAGCGCGTACCGTAACGACTTCTCCACGGGTCTCCCATTCACCACCGTGTCATCTTCCGTGTCAACTTCGTACAAGGAGGATGTCGGCCACTGGCCGCCGCGGATCCCGGCAGACTGCGCGAATCCAAGAGCACACAAGTGGAGCTGCTTGACCTGCTGGTACTGGCAGTCACGTGATCCCACGGCATATGAAGGCGTACCCGGAGTGTCGGTAGAATTCCCGGCCGGCCCGGTGCTATTTCCTGCCGGCGTGGTAGTATTCCCGGCTGCACCAGTTGAATTGACGGCCTTGGTCGTTGCCAGCGGCGGGAGTGGTTTTGCTGAAGGTGCGGTATTGAGGGGAAGAGCACCGGGCTTAGGATGGGTCGTCTCGGAATTAGGTGGGAAGGTAGCTGGCTTTGGCTGACTCAGAGTCTGCTTCGGGCCAGGTGCGTCCGTTTTGGGAATCGGGTGCAGCTTCGGCACCGAGCCACTCTGCTTCAGTGAGGGACCACTCTGCTTCGGCGTGGGACCACTCTGCTTCGGCGTGGGACCACTCTGCTTCGGCGTTAGACCACCCTGCTTCGGCGTGGGACCACCCTGCTTCGGCGTGGGACCACCCTGCTTCGGCGCTGGTAAGGACGCGGGAGCGGCGGCGGCTGCGCCATCACTGGCTGGTTTCCCCTTTGCGAGTCCATCAGGAGAGGATTTTCCGGTGGGAGTCTTTACGGGAGCGGTAGGAGCTGCTTTAGAGGAAACGACGGGCCGGGAAGCAGCAGGCGCGGCAGCAGTGGCAGAAGCAGCAGGGAGAGGCGTGGCGGTAACTGCCCCAGCGGGATCTGCGCTGCCAGGGGTAGCGACAGAGGCAGCGAGAACTTCCGCAAAAGTGGGGCCGGCGGACGGCGCTGCCCATTGCGCGCCGAGCTTCCGAGGCACGGCTGGTGTCTCTATCGCCGCAAAAACGTCGCTCCCTGCATCTTCCGTGTCAAGAGCGCTTCGGCCGCGGACGACACGTGGCCACCAGAAGTGCGCGGATTGGCTGGAGTCGCCCTCGCAGGGCGTATTCGGTAGCTCGCCCAACGCTGCGGCGCCTTGCGTCGCGGTGACGATGAAAATCAGCAAAAGCAACGCGTTTAAGCGTCTTGTGGTATCCCCCATGGTAGCCACTATCAGCGTCTTATCTTGCAGCTAAGTCTCAATGTTCGGTGGTCCGAAATCCTAAACGAAAGAGATACTGCAGCTGGCACGAATGATTGTGTGCTTGGACTGCCTACCTGCCACCCTGGACTGCCGCATGCTACAATTAGTTGCGTTGACAACTGCCCGTCGTGACCTTTTGAAGGTAAGCAGCTGTGTGCTTTAGGTCTCGCACGCGAGATGGTGAAATGGTTGTCTGACCAACTTCTATGCGGTTAGAGCAAGTCTCAGAACGGGAAGGGCAGCTCCATCCACAGCAACTCGAGTTGCAGGTCCCCCCCACCCCACTCTCCCTAGAGCAAACCTGCCCATGGATGGATCCAACCCACAGAGCAGAAGGGCGCGAATTGCACGAAGAGAAGCTTCGAATTCCCGCTGTGCGGTGGCAACATTTGAGTGAAAATTTGAAGAGCATCGAATCGCGCGTGGTCCTGCCAAGTCGCGAAATTCGTCTAATCGAGGCGCATGTTGGCAAATGGGTGAAAATCGTCGTCTGCCAAGACGCATTTTCCGGCAGCTCCTGCGTCAGAGATTGGTTCGGAGGGAAAGGTCGATACTTCGTAAATTTATTCCACAGACTACACCTGGTCTTTGTATCATATTTTACATTCAGTTAAGTCTTCAAAAATCCCTCCTTTCTCTCAACATGCATTTACTTCTACACTCATGAATAGAATAGGACAGCATAATCTGTAAATCAGACTTAAGATCATCTTCTGCCACGATGCGCCTCCCAGAAGATCAGAGAAGCCGGCACATATAGAGGTTAGTCATATCCACTTTGAACCACACTTGGTGACTGGGTGATGATTTGCACTAACACAACTTTACAAAACGCCTAACTGTAACTCAATGTCCACCTACGTTCCACAAGCCAGAGGTGGAACATGATAGCTTAGGATTAATATCAAATAGCATTTCAACATCAAGCAATAGATTCAAACGTGCAGGGTTCTCACTTTCAGCACGTATATGGGTGAACTAGAAAGTGAAGATTGGGGTGGATGCCTGCACTGGCCCAATTGCGGTGAACACACGTATCAGTTCTATGCATTTGGACTCTCAAACGACACAAGGAGAAAGGAAATCTGGAGGTGGAACCTCCACTGCTTGGAAAGATACTTGTTATTAGGGAATTTGGTCTTGTGTGAGCAAGAGAATTGGATGCATTATCAATCATAAACATGCTCGTTGGATGTGTAGCAAGGTGAGAGCCAGATTGACGTTTCATTTTAGAACAAATCAACACAAGCTCATCCAAGACTGCAATGCAAGGTAGGAGCTACACTCTGACTACCGAATCCTACCATGGCACGAAAAAGTCCAGCCATTTATTTACTTGGCGGCAGCAGCAGGGTAGTGGAAGTAGATGGTGCGGCCGTTGAGCGGCTGGGGCATGCGGTTGTCGGTGCGGTCCTGGTTGGTAACCGCCATGATATTCATGAACTGAATCGACTGCGCCACGGAAAGCGGCTGCGCCTTGCGCAGCACGTGCCAGGAGACAATCTCGTTGCACTCGGGCGTGGTGAGCGAGCCGGGGTACGCCCAGAAGCCTGACGACGCGTCGATCATCTCGCTCCAGAAGTTTGGCGTCACGGAGATGGTCGCCGTCGCGTTGTTCTCGAGGGGCGCCTGTGGCAGCCACTGGTTGACCCACGCGGAGTCCTCGTCGTGGCGGTGCACGCGCAGCATGACGCCCACGACGGCCAGCTTGTTGGGGTCGGCGGTGTTGACGTGCACGAAGTGCGCCTCCATGGGCGCGAAGAGCCCGTTGATCGCGTGCTCTGAGTACGTGTGCACGTGCATCTGCAGCAGCTTGTAGTCGCCCGAGGCGAGGTGCAGCAGGTGCGTCTCCTCCGGTGCGGGAATCACCTCTGGAGTAAAACAGGACGAACGATGGGTGGAGACATGGTAAGTGAATGTCGGAAGCGGGAAAGATTCATAAAAGCGAAGTCGACTTGCTTGTTCAACGTCTCGAACGTGTGGTTGAATGAAGCAAACTCGGAATTCGATTAATCTGACGAAGTCGTACGCTTTTCGCGCTACGTTATGCTATCCGCTGGCAAATTGAGGTCGGGACTCACGGATGGTGGAGCCTTTGTTGACGACGGACGCCTGCTTGCTGGTGCTGCCGTAATCGAGCGAGAAGAGCTCCGGCTTCTTGCTCTGCACCGCCCTGTCCATCACGATGTTCACCGGCGACTGGCGCTCTCCCGTCGCGCACGCGCCCTGCACCACATCGCAGCCAAGAAACAATGAAATGGGAGCTCGAGTGAGTGCGAAGGCAGCGCGTGAAGACGCTACACGGTGAGACAGCATGGGCTATACAGAAAGCGAAAATTAGCGGCCTATAACAGTGCTTCGATTGCTGAGTGTTCGGGAACTAGAGAATTGAGGAGAATGAGACGGAGAAGTCTGTTGGGTATCGCGGAGATTGGTCCCTACCGGCCAATCAGTGCCGCTCTTTCCGTAGGTGAAGGGCACAGATGCAGCATTGGCGACAGCGGCGAAAGCTGCGAGCAGCACAAGGGCGACGGCGATTGAGCGAGCCATTGCTTGCTGGTGTTAGGAGCTTCTAGCTGCCGGAAGCACTTGGAGTGAAGAGGCAATTGTTATCGACGATGATGAAAATAATAGTCGAGGTTCGAGTATTTGTATGGCAAGATAGCTCTGTTGTGTCACGAATCGCGTTTCCCGTCGCAGCACATTCTGGTGCTTTGTGGGTTGGGCTGTTTCCGAAGAGGTTCACGAAGAGGAACGATGAGGTGAGCGAAAGGGCGACGACATTCCGTCACCCCTCGAACATACACCAGCGAAGTCCCATCACTGTCGCCAAACAAGCAATTCCTCTTCCAGCGCGCACGCGACTTGTCTGGGGCGTACCCAAAAGGCTGTCCCGGTGAAGGCTGAATTTGCCCCTGAAATGCGATTGCTCGAAATGTTAGCCCAGGTCCATTCTGGTTATTGTGGAAAATGAGTGGCTCTCACCGCAGTATTCTCGAGTCGCTCATCCATTCCACCCCAGCATGACGTGATTGCAACGCGGCGCCAATTTCCAGGTTGAGTTCAGGCAGATGTGAAGTGAACAAGCGAGTGGTGAGCGGAGTTACGAGCATGTGTGGTTTGGGTTGGGATGCGAATGGAGGGGCGGATGAACCTTGCCTACTACTGACGCGTATAGAAGAATCTGTCCCGAAATGTGTCCAATCCCGCGAGCCAAATTCTGTGCTCCGTTATGGAGGAAAACGTCCTTGTATGGTGTTCCTTTGAAGTATAATCTTCCTAACGGTCTATATGCTAGTCCATCCTTTCAGTTGCTGCCGGAAAGGAAGGTGATAATATTTTCATAAATCAGGTTCTATTTTGACAAAGATTTCGTTCCCAAGGTTTTAAATTCGCCTTCAATTTTGGTATTGTGACTGGCCAAGGTAGTGCAAGTGTGAGTCTTTCTCAGCACTAACATTTGTATTTCACAATATACGGAAGCGAAGCACCTTCAGCGAGTCAAACTACCATAATCCATCCCTTCTCATGTCAAACTACCTCGGACCCCCAATCACTTTTCATCCTCCATAACCCTCCACGTCGAATTCGTTCTAGTTATTATCAGTCGCCTTGTGATCCTCCGTGTTTCTGCTAGCCTTCAAGGTTATCGCTGATTCTCCGTAACTGAGCGTTTTAGTTCATCTCCTCTGCATGTGAATCCACATCGCGATCCGTAACTCAGAGCTAAGCCTGTATCGCCGCGTTCTCCGCCGGTGACACTTCATACTCGACTCGTAGACGCGATGCCGAAGAAAAAAGGAGGCTCCGGGAGCCTGGGCTCGTCCCTAATCCGCCATAGATTCAACCGCGGCTCGGAGTTTCAGAACGCCGACGAGGGCCGCCGCCACGTCATCGCCGCGGCGGAAGCGGCGGCGAAACCGGCGCTGGTGTCGGTGGTGGATCAGAGCGATCTAGAGGAGCTGCTGACCACTGCTGAGCTGGCAGGGCGGGAGTTTGCCGCCCAAAGAGGCAACGCCGAGATCATCTATCTTGATGGGTGAGAAGCGCAAAGATCAGAAAGCATCTTTTCTAAAGACTATTTATATAGGCTCTCTGCCTGTCTTTCTAGTTGTGCGTTCCGTGAAGCCGTGTAACTGCAATTTGTAGAAGCATCCGGCGTAGATCCAGAACCCCGAACCTTAAACCCCGAACCCGACTATGGTGGAGGTGCCGTAATTCATTGACCGGCGGCGGTGTTTTCAACCATTGACGCCGTAAAACCCCGAACCCGAATCTCCGCCGTTCGCGCTTAAATTCGAGCCGCCATTCACCCTCCGTTGTCCGCTGTCCATCCTCCGCCTGCCGCCCTCCGCCTGCCGCCCTCCACCGCCCGCCCTCCACCGCCCGCCCTCCACCGCCCGCCCTCCACCGCCCGCCCTCCGCCGTCCGCGCTGGATGTGGGGGCGCTGGGCGGGAGTGTCTGTTTGTAGGCGTTTTAGAGACCCGCCTTTTCCGCTCCCCCTCCTCCTCCCCCCTTGTTTTGCTTCTTTTCCGAATCATGCAGGCAGGATGTGGGAGCACATTGGGGAGGTGTCAGCAGCAGCGAGCGCAGGGAACAGGAAGAGCTTCACCGCCCCCACCCCCCTCCCCACATCCCCCTCTCCCCCTCTCCCCCTCTCCCCCCACTTCTCCCCCTCCCCCGTCTCCCATTCTGTATCGTGCAGGCAGGATGTGGGAGCACAGAAGAGAGGCGGCAGCAGCAGCGAGCGCAGGGAGCAGGAGGAACTTCACAGGAAGCTTCTTACCATCCCGAGGAGGTACGGGGAGAAGAGGCGGAGGGGAGGGGAAGCGAGGAGGGCAGAGGCAGAGGGGAAGGGAATGGATAAAGATGGTGGAGGATAAGAGAAACGGGTGAAACTATAATTTGCCGTCTGTTGAGTGATTGGACAATACAAGTTGACTATATAAGTTGGTGCATGGGGTGGGGGGTGTTGATCATGATGTTGATCTAGGTCACTATGAGATGAAAGAACCGCTTTTCTCCCTTTCCACGGCTCTGTGCCTCTGCCGCCCTATGCGCTCTTAACCTTGTGTTCCCACCCACACCCCCATCTTACCCACATCCGCCTCCCATCCGCCCCCCCCTCCTCACATCCGTCCCCCACCCGCCCCCACCCGCCCCCATCCGCCCCCATCCGCCCCATCCGCTTCCCCCTCCGCCCCTCTCACTTCCCCGACACCAGGCCCAAGTGGAGCGCGAGAATGACGTCAGCAGAATTGGACGCTAGTGAGAAGGCGGCTTTCCTGGAATGGAGGCGATCGCTCTCCGCGTGAGTGGGGCGGGGAAAGGGTGTTGAATTGGGGGGAGGGAGGGGTGGGGAGAGATGGAGGGGAGGGGGAATGGGGGAGGGGAAGGGGGAGGGGAAGGGGGAGGGGATTAGGGTTGGGGGAAGGGGGAGGGCGGTGGGGGAAGGAGGAAGGGGGAGGGCAGTGGGGTGTTTGTGAATGTCGCATGTTCATGTACAATCACATCCTGCATGTCACCATTTGGCTGTATCCCCGCACGACTGTGATCACACGTGATTGTAACGAGTGTGGAGTGACTGTATGGCAGGGTGGAAGAGAACAACCATCTGGTGGTAACCCCATTCGAGAAGAACCTTGATATCTGGCGCCAGCTGTGGCGAGTGCTGGAGAGAAGCCACCTGGTGAGTGGGTGGTTACCTGGTAACCTGAATGATTACGAATGGGTAGTTACCTGGTTACCAGTTACTTAGCGGTTACCTTGTTCCCAACTTTTGAGTGGTTTCTTGGTTACCAGTGTTGTGGTTACCTGGTCATTAGCCTTCATTGTGGGTGTGTGTCATGCATGCTATTGCCTTCAACTGCTGCAAGAATTCAAACCTTGCCCATTATATCTTGTTGTTTTAGTAAGCATATTGTATTCGAGGGTACCGTATCATGACCATATTATCCTCCGTTGTAACTTTGTTACCAGGTGGTAACCGTGGTCGACAGTCGAGATCCTCTTTTCTACCGCTGCACTGACTTGGAAGCCTACGTGCATGAACTGGGAGCGGGACCAAAACACAGTAACGAGAGCACCAGCAGCAGCGGCAACTCGAAAGACGAAAGAAATAAGGACTTGGCAGATGGGTGCAGCAGCAGCAGCGGGGCGAGAGAGGAGGGTTCGCTGAGCCGCACGCTGCTGCTGCTGAACAAGGCGGATCTGCTGCCTGCTGGTGTAAGGAGGCTGTGGGCAGAATGGCTCAAAGGGCAGCGCGTTGAGTTTGCGTTCTGGTCTGCAAAGGCTGCTGCTGAAGGGGTGGATGGGGAGGAGGACGATGGTGAGGAAGAGGAGGAGGATGAGGGGGAGGAAGAGGGTGAGGATGAGGAGGAGGATGAGAGTGAGGGTGAGTGGGAGGAGGCAGAGGATGGGGAGGAGGAGGATGAGGAGGAGGAGGCTGGAGAGGGGGAGGGTGGGGAAGCAGGCGAAGGCAGTGTGAAGGAGCAAGAGGGAAGTGGGGGTGTTGAGGGGAAGGTGAGGGAGAGGGTGAGGGTGACTGAAGCGGATGTGAAGATACATGGCAGGGACAGCCTGTTGCGGCTGCTCGAGGCAAAAGCCACTGCCGCTGCTGCTGCTGCTGCTGCCGCTGCTGCCACTGCTGCTGCTGTTTCTGGTGGCGATGGTGCTGCTGGTGGTACTGCTGCTGCTTCAGCAGGAGCAGCTGGGGGGAGAAGGGAGAAGCAAAAGGATGGGCAGAAGGAAGGGCCAGAGAGAGTGGTGGTGGGTTTTGTGGGTTACCCCAACGTGGGTAAGAGCTCTACTATCAATGCTCTCGTTGGTTCCAAACGCACTGGTGTTACATCAACCCCGGGCAAGACGAAACATTTCCAGACGCTGCCCGTGTCGGATTCGCTGATGCTCTGCGACTGCCCGGGGCTGGTTTTTCCGTCTTTTGCCTCTGGGCGGTCAGAAATGGTGGCTGCGGGAGTGCTGCCCGTTGACCGAATCACGGATCAGAGAGGGCCCGTTGATGTGGTTGCCCGAAAAGTTCCTCGGGCAGCCCTTGAAAAGATTTACGGGCTGACCTTTCAGCCACCAGCTGCCCATGAAAGAGCCGACAGACCACCAAAGGCAGCAGAGCTTCTTAAAGCCTATGCTCGGTCAAGAGGACACGTGGTTTCTTCTGGGCTGCCCGATGAAACTCGGGCAGCCCGAATAATTTTGAAGGACTATTTGAGTGGGAAGCTGCCACATTTCGAGCTGCCCCCAGGTTGCCCAGAAAGCAGTTTCGACGACAAATTTTGGTCTGGCACAGGAGCAGGAAGAGGAGGAGGAGAGGGGGAGGGTGTGGAGGTGGGAGAGGAAGGGGAATTTCTGGTTCTAGACGCAGTTGACTTGGAGCATTTCGGAGGTATGGCTCTTGAAGAGGCCCAGCAGGCTGCTGCTGCTGCTGCTGCTGCTGGCGATTCTCTTGGTGATGCTGACTATAACGAGGATGGGGTAAGCAGGGGAAGAAACGCCTCAAGCAGTGGCAGCGCTGCTGCTGGTGGTGCTGCTGGGGTAGGGCTGGGAGGCGGAGGGGGGAGGAGGCAGCAGCAACCGGCAAAGGCAGAGCATAAGAGGCAGAAGAAGCAGGCGAGGAGCAAGAAGAGGGATTGGAGGGTGGGCCGTGGGGGCGGGGATGGGGAGGAGGGAGCAGTGATGGCAGTGGTGAGAGGGGTGGTTAAGCCGTTGAGCCATGGGGCAGTCAAGCCTGGGATGGTGCTTCCGGGAGTCAAGCACTTGGTGCAGTGATGGGGTGATGGGTGTGTTGTGGGGCAGTCAGTTTAGTGATGAGAGGAGGGGGCAGTGATGGCAGTGGTGAGGGGCGTGGTGGATGGTGGGTGGCGGAAGTGGTGGTTGAGGCAAGGGGCCTCAAGTCTTGTTGGCTTTAGGTGAAGCCCTGAGATACATGGAAGCGTCCACTTTATTACCGTAGCTGTTACGGTGTATCAAATCTCATGCGAGTGAGTGTACTGTCCCAGGCAGCTACCTGGTGCTGTGACGGTGGTTGTGTGCTTCTCAACAGGAGGGCAATGATTGCAGTGAGTGATGGCTAGTTGACTTGTGTGCTCAATGGTGGCGATGCTGTGATGCCATTTTGGGAAGGGAGCAGTGGTGGGAATAGCATTAACTACAGCAAAAGGTACGGTATTGCTTGTGAAGAGGAACCCTGCCTTGTAGGTGTTCAATGCGGTACCTATGTGCAATGCAATACATCTTGCTTTACAGTATTAAGGAGCATTGCTGCTCAAATCAGGTACCGTAAATGACACGCCCCTCTTCCAGGTGTCCTTTGCTGCTAGGATGGTACCTCAACAGCGCACAGCCACACCCTACCGTCACACAAGCTTCCAAAGCCCAACCCCAATCACAACACTCAAGGGAAGATGAAGGAAAATAAGCCTTTTCTACTGCTACCAACCAAGACACCTAAAGTAGAGTGTGCCCCCCTGCTGCTGCTGCTCAACCCATTAAAGCCAGAGTCTTGAGGGTTTAAGCATCTCGACTCAACTCAACTCATACGGTACCAAACCATGCCAACTTGTGCTTGTGACCACTAAATGAGCTGGTGCTGCCACGTCACTAGCATCTTCATTCGGTGCTCCCGAATGCGCGAATCACGCTCCCCTGTTGCACCCACCCACCACACAAGCACATGCAGATGCATCACACACAACAGCATCACACTGCTTCTGCACGTCCTCCCACTACTCTTCACTGTACCCCTCCCTCTCCCCATCCCGTTGCTCCTCCCACTCCTCCTCCCTCCCCCCCTACCACTCCCCCTCCCTCCCCCCCTCCCGCTCCCCCTCCCTCTGCTCCTCCCCTTCCTCCCCCGGCTCCCCCTTCCGTTTCCCCTTCCGCGCCCCCCGCCTGCCCTTGTTTACGTCGGTTGCGATTCCTCCTCTTGCTGTTCTTACTGGAGCGGCCCCCCCCTCCCCCAGTTCCCACCCCTCCCGCCGCTCCGCCCGTCCCCGATTTAAGCTGCTCGATAGCGGGTTTCGCGGCGTTCAGCAGCCACTCGAGCGTGTCGCCGTACGTCGCCTTGTCCGTGCCCAGCCGCAACGCGTGCAGCTCGAAGAACGCGCGCTGCATCTCCGGGGAAAACGACACGCACGAACATTGCGCGCCGCCCCCGCCCCCGCCGCCGCTGATACCCGCCATGCCTCCCCCCATAACTCCGCACCCGCCCCCGGCCCCGCACCCGTTTCCACCTCCGCCTCCGCCGTCTCCGCCGTTGACCTCAGCATTTCCGCCGACATGGCTGGGCGCGTCGCCGCGCCCGTTCTCTCCGCCCGCCCGGCCCCCGCCGCGCGCTCTGCCGCCCCGCTGCCGCCGCTGTCTGCCCCCTCTTCCGCCAGTCGCGGCGCTCGTACCGCTGGCGGCGCCCGCATGTTCTTCCGCGATCGCATGGCTGGTGGCTTCCGCAGCTTGCGCAGGCGCGGTGAGTGGCTGAGAGCCAGGCTCCGCGGCGGGAGTCGCGGCGAGAGTATCGCCCTGCATTGCGGTTCGCTAGAAAGGGCGGCCGCGTAGAAGATAAACCGGAAAAAAATCTGGCGAATTTAGTGCACTAAGCTTACAATATAACTGGCTTGTCGAAACCTTAGTGGAAACTGGGATCGGCGGAAAGGAGTAGATGTGCGCGAAAACTGGTAGCACGAGATATATTTTTTGGAGCGAGGGTGAAGGGGGAGAGTTGTTTTTGAGAGCGTATGCAGAAAATGTGAATACGCAAGAGCTACACACAAGAACCACCATCATTAGCTATCGTTCACACATTTTTACTCAAAATTGGCGTCACGAACTCGTACTGAAGCTGCTTTAGCTTGTGAGAAACTCTTTCTCGAACCCTCTTTGGTTAGATCTCGAACTAGCTGGACACGCGAGGCGACTCGTGCTGACGAGACAGGATGGATATGCCACGTATGGATGAGCACATTCTGACGAATGACGTGGGTTGGGCCGCCACGTGGAGCTTCGCAAGAGGAAGTTTTGAAATTGAGTGCGTGGCGACATTAAAACGGATTGCTAATGTCAGAAGCCCGGAATACCATGTAGCGTATTGAGTGCATGTCTGCATAAATAAAAAAAGACGGTTGGACAGACAGAGGTTCAGTAGAAAAAAACTTGAGAAGAGATGCCACACTAACCGAAGTATACTGTTTGTGAAACAGAAGTTTACTCTGCTGACGGATTGGACCCAGCGAATGTATTACACAACCTAGTAAAACAAGTATAAACACTCCCACAGGAAGATCTTATGATGCCGCCGAGAAGATCGCAACAGGGGAACCTGAAGACAACAGCCATAGCAGAAAAGGACAAGAGGCGGGGAAGGAAAAGGAAAAGGATGTAATTTTATTAAAGCTGGTGAGACGGGCTTGAGAAAGGCATTCCACACGGGAGACAGCTTGAACAGAAGCCAATCTGAATGCATCAACAGTCTCAACAGCAGCAAGACCCTGCCCTCTGCGGCACACCTGGCACGACGGCAGAGACACGAACGGCATTGTTGAGACTGACAGCAGCAATGGCATCGGATCGGCATAGGAACACCCTTCCCTCCATCCCCGCCCCCCCTCTCGCTCCTCCTCGATTACTTTCAAGTGAAACGCACCTGGCACAGCAGCAGAGATGCGTGAGGCGTCCTTGGGATTGACGGCAGCAACGGCGTCAGAGTCTGATGTGAGGAACACCGAGAACTGGTCCAGCTGCAGCTGACGCTGTTAGTCACAAGACACAGGGATACAAGGAATGGAGAGGAACGCAGGAGATGGATTAGGAACATGAACGGCAGCAACAGCATCCGAGTCTGGTGTGAGGAACACCAAGAACTGGTCCAGCTGCAGCTGACGCTGTTGGGTGGCATGTGCAGGGAGGATGCAGAGGGATGCAGATCGATGCACAGCGATGCAGAAAAAGAGAGATGGATTAGGCACATGAATGGCAGCAACGGCATCGGCATCCGATGTGAGGAACACCGAGAACTGGTCCAGCTGTAGCTGACGCTGTTGGGTGGCAAGACAAAGATGAATGCAGAGGGATGCAGAAAGGAGGGATGCAGAAAGGAGGGATGCAGAAAGGAGGGATGCAGAGGGAGATGGATTAGGCACATGAATGGCAGCAACAGCATCTGAGTCTGATGTGAGGAACACCAAGAACTGGTCCAGCTGCAGCTGACGCTGTTGGGTGGCATGTCACGGGAATGCAGTGAGGGAGGGAGAGCGATCAGGCACATACAGAGGCAGTGCTGTGTGATGGAACACCGCACATTGCTCACAAAACACGAGCCTAGGAGAACTTGAGAAGAGATGGCACACTAACAAAAGGAACACCAAGAACTGGTCCAGCTGCAGCTGAGGCTGTTAGCACAAGACACAGGAATAGACAGGAACGCAGAGGGAACGCAGGAGAGGGCACATGAACCAGATGTGAGGACGACCGAGAACCGACCTAGTTGCAGCTGGCGCTGTTAGACACAAAGTACAAGACGCTGTCAGCATGTACCAATGTCTCACCTTGATGAGGTCAGCGTTCTCCCGCAGCACGTTGGCCTCGTCAAACTGCAGCTTCACATCCAGCGCCTGATGGGGTGAGCGGTGGAATGCGGTGGAATGCCGTGGAATGCGGAGGAATGTGGTGGAATGTGGTGGAATGAGGACAAGGGAGAGAGCACGCATTGTGGGAGATGTGATGAAGAAGAGCCCTGTGCACTGCCACAGCAGCAGCTTGAGTTCCAGGTTCAGGTTGCCCCAGCACAGGGGCATTTGAGCAACAGGGGCTAAGCTTGTCGTTTTGAGCAACAAGGGCAACAGGCGTTAAGCATGATACAAGGTTACCTCAGCAGAGGAAACAGCTCACCTGTGCACCGTGCAGCAGAGCAGCGTCCTTCTTAAATCGGATGAAGCCCATGCACTGCCCCATCAGCTTCTTAAAGTCCGGCCGCTGGTGGTGGTGGCAGTGTTAAGGGATCGGGAGAGGGTAGAAGCATGAGTGCTTAGAATCGTACACTGTCCCATCAGGGACTTAAAGGCCGGGTGCTGGTGATGGCAGGACACTGCAGCAGTTCCAGGCCAGGCACTCCGCCTGCCTTGACCTTTCACCTCCGCTCTCTCCCTTCCCCTTGGCTTACCTGGCCAACAGGGCTGGCTTTAAGTTCATCCAGCAGCCCAGCATCATCGTGAAACACCACCTTCTCCGCATCAAAGTGCTTCTGAAGCAGCCCCAGGCACTCCGCCTGCCACCCGCCGTACTGCTCAGCAACAAACACCACCCCCACTGAGATCTTCGGTGCTTCCTTTGGTACTGCCGCTGCTTTCCCCCCCTTGGCCTTCCCGCCTCCCCCGGCTGACGCCTGCTGCTTGGTGATCAGCTTGCGGAAATCAACTATGCAGTCCTGCCAGGAGGGGGGGAAGAGGGGGAGGAGAGAGAGGAGGAAGGTCTGTTGAGCACGCAAGGTAAAGAGTAGTGCTTTTGGAGTGCTTTTGGAGGGGAGAATGGTAGTGCTTTTGCATCTCAAGGCACTCTACCATGCCTGCTGCTTGGTGATAAGCTTGTGCCAGTAAGCGTAAACTTGCACATATACGTACCTGCAGGTACGTGTTGGCTGCCTTTAAGGTCATGTCAGCTGGTGCTGCTTCCGGCCATCCAGCTGTGATGCCTGCCCCAGGCAGCTTCAAAATGTTTCTCCACACGTGCTCCCCATAATGCGGGCAGATCTGGAAGATTTACATCCAAAGAGAGCGATCGCAGGGGATGCATGCACATGTACGAGAATCATTATCTTCCTATTTCACCACCCCAGCAGCACCCCAACCATCCCACCACCCACAGCACTGGCATGAGCAGCAGCGAATGCACTTTGCAAAAGTGCAAAAGAAGGTCCTAGTGCTAAGGAGGGAGTGCGCTACGACCAGCAGCAGGTCCCTGTGCATGTGCATGAGTTTCAGCCCCAACCATTAATCCCAGAACCTCACCGGCATGAGCAGCAGCGTCTGGACTTTGCAGAAGCGCAACAGAAGGTCCTTGTGCATGCCCGCCGCCCCGCATGACAGCCGGTACTCGTCCCGTGCGAGCTGGGATAGAGTTGCAACAGGCAGAAGAAGGGGCAGTTGAGAGGAGGAACATAGCAAGCAAGGCAGCAGAAGGTCCTTGTGCATGCCCGCCTGTCCCGAATGGCATGCGGCACTCATCACAAGGAGGTGGCCTGCGAAGTGCTGAGGAGCAAGAGATAAGTGTGAGCAGGGAGTATGGCAATCACTTGAGGGAAGTGCACAACTGGCGAGAACTGCTGCCCACACCTGCAGAGGTAGCAGCGTACCTGCAGGTCAAAGAACCCTGTCTTGAGGGCCTCGCGGAACAGCATGTTGTCGTATGCTGCTTTGGAAAGAGCCACCGCCAGGTTGATCTCGTTCTCAAACACGCGGTCTGCAAACGACCGCTCGTCCCCGGTGCGCAGACCCCCCTCTGTGGCTGCTGACGCCAGCACCTCCTCCATCCACGTCATCTCCCTGGAAGTTGAGAGGGGGGGCTGGGAGAGACGTGTGAGGGAGGAACCACAGTGGGGTTGATCTCGTTCTCAAACACCCGGTCTGCAAACGACCACAGTGGGGTTGATCTCGTTCTCAAACACCCGGTCTGCAAACGACCACAGTGGGGTTGATCTCGTTCTCAAACACCCGGTCTGCAAACGACCACAGTGGGGTTGATCTCGTTCTCAAACACCCGGTCTGCAAACGACCACAGTGGGGTTGATCTCGTTCTCAAACACCCGGTCTGCAAACGACCACAGTGGGGTTGATCTCGTTCTCAAACACCCGGTCTGCAAACGACCACAGTGGGGTTGATCTCGTTCTCAAACACCCGGTCTGCAAACGACCACAGTGGGGTTGATCTCGTTCTCAAACACCCGGTCTGCAAACGACCACAGTGGGGTTGATCTCGTTCTCAAACACCCGGTCTGCAAACGACCACAGTGGGGTTGATCTCGTTCTCAAACACCCGGTCTGCAAACGACCACAGTGGGGTTGATCTCGTTCTCAAACACCCGGTCTGCAAACGACCACAGTGGGGTTGATCTCGTTCTCAAACACCCGGTCTGCAAACGACCACAGTGGGGTTGATCTCGTTCTCAAACACCCGGTCTGCAAACGACCACAGTGGGGTTGATCTCGTTCTCAAACACCCGGTCTGCAAACGACCACAGTGGGGTTGATCTCGTTCTCAAACACCCGGTCTGCAAACGACCACAGTGGGGTTGATCTCGTTCTCAAACACCCGGTCTGCAAACGACCACAGTGGGGTTGATCTCGTTCTCAAACACCCGGTCTGCAAACGACCACAGTGGGGTTGATCTCGTTCTCAGAGGGAGGTGCGCAGGCCCCCCTCTGTGGCTGCTGATGCAAGCACCTCCTCCATCCACGTCATTTCCCTGTGAAGTAGAGGGCGTGGGGAAGGGAAGAGAAGGAGGAACAAGCAACGATTCACCTCCGTTGCACAGTCTCCCCCTCCGTGTCACCCGCATCCGCACTTCCGCACCCACCTGACTCTGACCCCCAAAAGCACCCTCTGACTCACTCACTTGTTAAGCCTCAGAAAGGTGGCGTTGGCAGTCTCCTGTACAGAGTCGGCAACACCGGACACCCACCGTGTCACCCGCACCCAGATGCCACAACCCCGCTCAAACACAGTGCTGCAATCTGCACACTCGAGCAAAGCAGCCTGCAGCTTACTTGGTGAGCCTGAGAATGGCCGATCTGGGTGTCTCCTCCATGGACTTAGCATCGTCCACCGTGCCACCCACATCCGCGCACTCCACACCCCCATGCACAGTGCGACAACCCCACCCATAAAAAGCACCCAAGCAGATTGCACTTACTTGGTGAGCCTGAGAATGGCAGCGTTGGCAGTCTCCTCGACAAAGTTGGCATCGTCCACCGTGTCTCCCGCATCAGCCAGGGCAAAGCGAGTGGCATCCGATGAGAACTCCTCTGAGAGAGAGGGGGGAGAGCAGGGGAGGGCCAACAGGAGCTCGGTTGAAGCATAAGTGACTGGGGTTGTGGGACGTGAACGGATTGTCTTGTCTCCTGCATCCGCCAGGGAAAAGCGAATTGCGTCCGATGAGAACTGCTCTGATAGAAGGGGGGGAGAGCAAGGCAGGGCGGTTGAAGGATAACTGAACGCGGAGTTTGAGTGCTGGGCCTTGGACCAAGAATGGAGAGTCCCCCGCATCCGCCAGGGCGAAGCGAGTGGCGTCCGATGAGAACTCCTCTGAGAGAGGGTAAGGAGGGAAGGGGAGGTGGTGACGGGAGGGGGGTGCAATGGGAAAAGGGTTGGTGGTGCAAGGAGCAGAGAGTCGCCTGCAAATGGTTTCCAACCCATTGTTTGACAACAACGCAACACACACACACCCTATTGGAAACAGCTGGTAAACATACCGATGGCCTGGGGGATGGTCTTGAAGTTGCCAGTCGATTTGGACATCTTCTCTGAGTTGAGCAGCAGATGGGCTCCTCTGAGTCAACACAGAGACACACCTTATCCACCCTAGTAGCACACATAAACGGGCGGCGTGAGAGCGCATCTCACCAATGGCCTGGCGGATGGTCTTGAAGTTGCCCGTCGATTTGGACATCTTCTCCGAGTTGAGCAGCAGATGTCCGTTGGTGCGGAAGCCCCTCGGCCATTGTTCCTGTGGTGCAGAGTGGTGTGGTGTGGTGTGGTGTGGTGAAAGAAGTGTGAAAGTGTGACCATGATGAGAGGCATACAAATCAGGACAAGTGCACATCCCAGCCCACCAACAGACTGATGCACGCTACCACCTAATGCCACAAGCTCCGCTGGCATGAACAAGACCTGAAGCAAGATGCTTGAATTGAATGTAGAAAGCTGCATGTTTATAACGAACATGGCAGCGTGGTTGTATGAAGGTGCATGCATGGGTGTGCTTGTAACGAACCTAAAAAATCACGGCGGCGTGACTGAAAAGAAGTGCTTATAACAAAACGAACCTTGGGGAACATGGCGGTGTGATTGTAGATGGCAAAGGTGAGGTGATTGTTGATCAGATCCTTCCCCGACACGCGCAGGTCGAACGGGTACCAGTACTCAAACTCCGCCCGTGCACGCTGACATGTGGAATGATGAGGGGGTTTGGGAAGATGAAGGAAAGCGAGAGAATGGTCAAACGGGTCAAACGGGTACGCGCTGTGTGAGAGGGCCAGAGGTTGAGTGTCAAACGGGGCTATAGCTGGCAACATAGAGCAGATCGTTCGCCTCTCATGCTCCACCCCATCTGCTTCAACCGCCTCACATCTAGCGTCCCTCACCTGCTACTCCCAGTAGCAGATTGTCCCAGAGGGCGTGAGACAGGCGTTCTTCTGGCCTCACACACGCCAACATATCTGCCTCATCTCCCTCACCCGCTCCTCCTCCTCTGCCTCACACACCACCCCATTCCGCCTCGCTTCGTCCCCCTCGCCTGCAGCAGGTCGTCAGGAACAGGGCAGTCGGCGGGCTTGGGCGCCCCCAGCAGCAGATGGTCCCAGAGAGCAGCAGGGGCTACGGCCAACCCCATAAAAGAGATCGCTCATCTGCAGTACCATATACCAACCCATCTGCCTCACGTCCCTCACCTGCAGCAGGTCGTCAGGGACAGGGCAGTCGGCGGGCTTAGGCGCGCCCAGCAGCAGATGGTCCCAGAGGGCGTGGGAGAGGTGCTCGGGCTTGATGCTCTGCTTGCCTGACGTGCCGAAGATGTCGCCCTCCTGCATGGAGGGGAGCAATGAGGATGCACCAGAGAGAGAGAGAGAGAGAGAGAGAGAGAGAGAGAGAGAGAGAGAGAGAGAGAGAGAGAGAGAGAGAGAGAGAGCGAGAGAGAGAGAGAGAGAGAGAGAGAGAGAGAGAGAGAGAGAGAGAGAGAGAGAGGACTTGGTCAGCAGAACGAGGGAGAGGCGTGGGACAAGAGCGATGAAATGAGCATGCATGTGACAAGAAAACACTGAAGTCCCATGCATGGGTCGACGTCATCGACCACATGTAGCACCGCACTCAACCCATGTTAATCACCTGCTGTATCTGCGAGAGCATGTAGTATGGCAGTAGACAGTGCTGTCAGCAGGCAAACTATCAGGTGCATCTTTAGCACCGCACTCAACCCACCCATCTCACCTGCAGGATGTGCGAGAGCGTGTAGTAGGCCATGTAGATGGTGCTTTCAGAGAGAGACTCGAGAAATACCTCACTAGCTTGAATGCCTGAACAACCGCACGGCAAGGACCACACTTAAACCAATCTCACCTGGAGAATGTGAGCGCGCATGTAGTAGGCCACGTAGATGGTGCTGTCAGAGAGCAACTCGATGAGGAACTGTAGACTGTGCAGGTGCACCTGAAGCACCGCACTCAACCCATGCGGCATGGCATGTGCCTCACCTGGAGAATATGAGCCACCGTGTAGTAGGCCATGTAGATGGTGCTGTCAGACAGCGACTCGATGAGGAACTGCGGGTCCCATGGGATGTGCGAGCCCAGGCCGAACGAACGCGAGCACGCCCACTGGGAGATGGGAGGGAGGAGTAAGGGAGTGGGAAGCAGTGGTGGGGAGAGACGATGACAGGATAGAGGGATGGGGAACTGCGAATCTCACGGGAGAAAGGGAAAATCTTTGAGGCGCCTGTGAAATTGGGTTGACCACGGAAACAACCCCTCCCTCCCCTTCTAATCCGTCCACCCCTATTCACCACCTCTACCTCCCCAATCCTTCTCTCACCCTATCGAGCCACCCCAGCGTGTGTTGGAACCCGTGCCGTGTCTCCTCGTTGTGAAGCTGCATGCCCGCAACACACCCCCCCTCTGCCAGCACCCTTTCCCTGCACTGCACGCCCACTCCATTCCCTTATTCCACCCTCGCCTATCCCCCCACAGGCTCACTATCCAGCCACTCACCCTGTCCAGCCATCCCAGAGTATGTTGGAACCCGTGCCGCGTCTCCTCGTTGTAAAGCTGCATGCCCGCCAGACACTCCTCTGCCAGCGCCCTTTCTCCCGTGCCTCCTCCCTTCCCTCTCATGCTGCCCTTCCCCATTCCTTCCCCAATATCTCACCCTGTCAAGCCATCCCAGCGTGTGCTGGAACCCGTGCCGCGTCTCCTCGTTGTAAAGCTGCATGCCCGCCAGACACTCCTCTGCCAGTGCGCGCCACTGCTCCTCCCCGTACGTGAGGTACCACTGGTCCGTCAGCGCCACCACACACTCATCCCCTGACCGCGATGTTACTCTCTTTTCAGGTTCGCTGTAGGGTACTGCCTCTCCTCTTTCAATTAACAGCTGGAGGGGGAGAGGGAGGAACAGAGGGAGGGGAGAGGAGCCGTACGTGAGGTACCACTGGTCTGTCAGTGCCACCACACACTCATCCCCTGACCGCGATGTGACTCTCTTTTCAGGTTCGCTGTAGGGCACTGCCTCGCCTCTTTCAATTAACAGCTGTGAGGGTAAAGCAGGGAGAGGAGAGCATGAGAAGGGGAAACGTGAATGCAGAGGGAAAGGACGCAAGGAGAAGAGGGAGAAGCAGAGAAACGGAGACCCAAAAGCAAGGGAAGCGGAGAGGAGGGGGGGGAAGGAGAACGCAAGAAGGGGGTGGAGAAAAATCACGTTGTGAGCATGCATGCACACCAGCACACATAGCCTGCATGCATACTACTAATAGGAACCTGGAAATTCATATAGATACCACCACAGTGCGCACCTTCTTGATCTGCGGCTTGGCGTCCTGCACCTTGGTCCCCTTGAGCTCGCCCACCAGCATCACTCCATTCCATCCGTGGAACCCTCACAGCCCCCCATTATCGGTACCACCGCACCAATGCACACACAGCTTGACACCACCACTGCACATACCTTCTTGATCTGCGGCTTGGCGTCCTGCACCTTGGTCCCCTTGAGCTCGCCCACCAGCATCACTCCATCCGTGAAACCCTGCAGGCATGCGAGGGAGGAGGAAAGGATGGGACAGCGGAGCGATTGTACTTGGGCTGAACGGCACTAGACAAACAGGAGAAGAACAGAAACAAGAGCGACAGCACAGTCCTGATACATTGTAATCAGTAGGCCTCCGTGTCTCAAACTGCTCAGTGGAAGTCCAATGCAACGCCCTTCACTTGAGATTTGTAGGACTCTTTGTCAATCTCTCACCTTGAGGTAAGTAAGTCTCTTAGCCTCAGCAAGCTTCTCCTTGTCGTTTTGGCTCTGAATCTTGAGGTCCTGGCACACTTTGACTGCCGCTGCGTCGCCAAACTCGGGGATGTTTATAATGGGGATGACCTCGAAGGGTAGCACCCACTCGTCCTTCACGTTGAACTTGGCTCGAAGGGCTGGGGTCGAGTGGGGTGGGGTGGGGTGGGGTTGTGAACAGTACGTCAGGAGCGAGACCGGTACGGAGGAGTGGAAACAGGAAATGAGCAAGTGCAATAGCAGACGGCCTCGAACGGCAGCACCCACTCATCCTTCACGTTGAACTTGGCTTGAAGGGTGGGGTGGGGTGGGGTGGGGTGGGGTGGGGTTGGGTACAGTAAGCCAGGAGTAGGAATGGTACAAAGGGGTAAATGAGGGATGAGTGGAGATAAGGCAGGGACGTAGCACGTGCAAGAGCATATGGGCAGCACCCACTCGCCCTTCACGTTGAACTTGGCTCGCAAGGCTGGGGATGGGAGGATGGATGGATGGGTATGGTGTGGATATGGTATGAGGATGGGGATGGGGATGGGGATGGGGATGGGGATGGGGATGGGGATGGGGATGGGGATGGGGATGGGGATGGGGATGGGGATGGGGATGGGGATGGGGATGGGGATGGGGATGGGGATGGGGATGGGGATGGGGATGGGGATGGGGATGGGGATGGGGTTGGGGATGGGGATGAGGATGAGGATGTGTTTTGCGATGGGAATGAGTATGGGAATGGATAGAGCTAGAGAGAGCAGGGATATGCACCATAGCTTATGCAACTATGTGTGAGCATGCATGTATCTATGGATGCATTCTGAACGCATGTACCCACGGCTCACCTGGCTTGCTCTTGAGGTCCTGCAGAGCCAAGTAGTCGTCCGGTGCATCGCTGGGCACAATGGATGGTATGGTGCCTTGCCTCTCCGTACCATACATACTTCATGTGTGGAGATGCATGCATGCCGCTCACCTGGCTTGCTCTTGAGGTCCTGCAGTGCCATGTAGTCGTCCGGTGCATCGCTGGGAACACTCGTCACTACCCCAGTGCCTGCATGAGGGGTGGGAGGGAGAGGGTACACAGAGGCAGAGGAGTGAGTGAGAGGGGGAGAACCTCAGAGCGCAAGAACTACGTAGTTGTTCGTCTGGTGCATCGCTGGGCACACTCGTCACCACTCCCGTGCCTGCAGGGTGGGGGAGAGAGTACACAGAGGCGGAAGAGTGAGAGAGAACGGGGGTAGAACCAGAGAGGACAAGAGCCATGTAGTCATCCGGTGTATCGCTGGGCGCACTCGTGACCACCCCCGTGCCTGCATGCATGTATGTCATGTCAGGAGTGTGCGGGAGAGAAAGAGAAGGAACATCAGGGAGCTCACAGAGGCTGAAAATTGAGAGATTGAGGAGGAAGGGAGAACGGACAAACACAAATAAGTGGCATGGCATGTGTGCTGTCGACCAGTGCCCCCCAATACACAGAGCAACGCACCTTTGTCCGTGAGAATGGTGAGCATGGGCAGGGCATAGATCACAGGGTTGGGCGTGAGAGGCGCCTTGAGAGGCAGCCCAATCAGGTCGTGCCCCGTCAGCTCCAGCAGGCAGTGCGGCTTGCCAAACTCCTGTAGCGGGAAAAGGGGTGATTACGGTACAGAAGAGAGCAGCATACGACTGAGGGACGGCAGGCACGCATAATAGGGGAGCGACAAAATAGCCACTACCAAAACAGGGGTTGCTTGGAGCATAATGGTTCCTTGCTCTAGGAGCGGAACTGGTAGGAGAGGTACAGAGAAAATCGCCTGGTTACCACAAACACGAGAGATAATCGAGCGAGAAAAGGCCACGAGAGGCAGGGCAGCGATAGCAGACTACCTATTTACAGAAGGTTTGCTTCGAACACTGGGGCTGCTTTAGGCATAGTGCGCGTCACCTTGGAGTGGAACTGGTAGGAGAGGTTCAGAGCTGATCGCTTGGTCATCACAAACACGAGTGGTGGCAGAGGGATGGATGGATTATGGAAGACCACGAGTGACAAAAAAATCACTACCAGCACAACGGTTGCTCCAAGCATAGGGAACTCAGAACTTCACCTTGGAGTGGAACTGGTAGGAGAGGTTGAGAGCCGATCGCTTGGTTACCACAAACAGGAGAGGGGGTGAGTGATCAGACCAGTATCAACACAGGAGCAGGGGAGCGATCAAGCCGCTATGAACATATGAGTCATTTTAATTCACCTTGGAGTGGAACTGGTAGGAGAGGTTCAGAGCCGATCGCTTGGTTACCACAAACACGTCTCCTGCTTCGTTCACTTCAAACGCGCCATACTGCCCGTCGGGCAGCACCCACGCGTTTGTCTGCCCGTACATGGTCTCCGGGCGCAGCGTGGCAGCGGCGAGAAAAACATTCCTGCCCGCAAGAGCCTCGAGCTTGCCTGCCATTGGTCGGGGGGCACATGGGAGAAAAGGCAGAAATTTCAGAATTTGCGGGTGTACAGGGATAATGGGGGATCGATGCAAGGAGGAGAGAAGGGTGAGGCAGCCCGTGAAGACGAAGAGAATAAGTCGGGAGGGAAAGGAAGGGTGAGGCAGCCCGTGACTGGTTGATGGGGAAGCACATAAGCCTATTACTTGAGATGTGCTAGAACAGTGAGGTAAAGACAAGCACCTGTGAGTGGCGGCACGATTTGCATCTTAATGAGTGTGTACTCCTGGGGCAACACGCCCTCCCCTCACACCCCTCACACCCCTCATACCCCGCACACCCCTCACCTCACACCCCACACACCCCTCGGGTACCTGTGAGAGGCGGCACGACTTGCATCTTGATGAGCGTGTACTCCTGAGGCAGCACGCCCTCTCCTGACAGCCCTCCCTAGCCGCCCTCCCCCACAGCTCCCACGGCTTACTGAGGGTGCATGACGCACCTGTGAGAGGCGGCACGACTTGCATCTTGATGAGCGTGTACTCCTGGGGTAGCACGCCCTCCCCTGACGCCCTGTCGTGGTCAGCACACGGCTGCCCGTCCAGCGGCGAGAAGATGGTGTAGCGGCGGTCCTTCACCACCTGGTGACCAAGGGAAGAGCAAGGGGAAAACAGTAACGATTCAAAAGGAAGGAGGGAGAGAGACGCACGCCCTGTCATGCCGGCACAGGGCTGCCCGTCCAGCGGTGAGAAGATGGTGTAACGGCGGTCCTTCACCACCTGAAGTGGGTCAAGTGGGTGGGATGGGAAGCATTGGAGATTGGGGGGAAAGAGGCACCCCTGTCATGGTCCGCACAGGGCTGCCCGTCCAACAGCGAGAAGATGGTGTAGCGCCGGTCCTTCACCACCTGGAGTGGGTTAAGTGGGTGGGATGGGTAAGGGGCGAGAGTAGGATGAACAGGGGAAGGGAAGTAGGTGAGAGGCACCCCTGTCATGGTCGGCACAGGGCTGCCCGTCCAGCGGCGAGACGATGGTGTAGGGGTTCATGTTGGTGGTGATGAAGGCGGGGATAACTTTTGAGACGTCTCAAAAGGCGAGAAGATGATGTAGGGGTTCATGTCCGTGGTGATGAAGGCGGGGATGCACCCATCTAGATGACACCCACCTTGCCCATGACACCCACCTTGCCCATGCCACCCACCTTGCCCATGCCACCCACCTTACCCATGCCACCCACCTTGCCCATGCCACACACACACGCCTTGCCCTTGTCGTAAAGGGACTGCAGGCGCCAGCGAGCGAACGAGTCATAATACGGGTTCATGTCCGTGGTGATGAAGGAGGGGGACACCCATCTATGTGCACCCATCAGCCTGCACCCACCTTGCCCATGCCACCTACCTTGCCCTTGTTGTAAAGGGTCTGCAGGTGCCAGCGGGCGAACGAGTCATAGTACGGGTTCATGTCCGTGGTGATGAAGGAACGCCGCCAGTCCACTCCCAGCCCAAACGCCTTGAGGTCGTCCTGCGTGCATTCATGCGGGTGTGTGTGTGCGGGGCGGGATGCGAGAGGGCACAGGAATGCACGGGGGGTTAAGGAGGGTTCATGTCCGTGGTGATGAAGGAGCGCCGCCAGTCCACTCCCAGCCCAAACGCCTTGAGGTCGTCGTGAGAGCATAGCATTGTGGGAAGGGGTGCCGTGAGAGAGACAGGTTAGTGGGAGAGACGGGGGGGGCACAGACGAGCAGGTGTGAGAGCTAGAGGGACATGCGAGCAAGATATGAAAGGTCAAGGACGTGATGTCAGGCGGGAAACGGTTGACAAGGAAGAGGCGGGTGTCAAGGAAGGGTGAAAGAGAGAAAAGGGGGTAAAAGAGACGTCTCAGAACAAACTTAAGTGCACAGCAGCAGCAGCACATACATAGTACATACCACGGCGATGGGCGGGAAGTAGGTGAGCCAGTGGGCAGGGTCTCTGAAGGGCTTGATCTCCTCATCTGACATACCCATGGAACGCATGATCTCCCACTGGCGGTGATAAGGGGTCAAAAGGGGTGTGAAGTGGTGAAACGGGGTAAGAACGGGTGATAAGGGGTGAGTACAGGTGGGAAGGGGTGAGAAAAGAGGGAGAGGCATGTGCAGTGAGAGTCGTTGAGATGCATACGTGCTTGTCAGTTGTGCCCAAGGATGGACCATGGACCGTGGGCATGACCATGATGTCACATGGTGTCACATGACGTCACATGATGCCACATAATTGATGCCATATCCCCCCACTACCAAATGCGTTGCATCCCCCTACCAGCTCCGCCACCTCTCTCACCTGGTACTTGGCCGTTCCTGTCTTGGCAGCTGCCTTGGACTGCCAGCGTGAAACGCCACAGCCACAGCCACCGTTCGAGTGCAGAGATTCGGAGAAGCAGGAAGTGACACGTGAAGGAAGCGCGACAGTCACAGCCATGTACGTGTGAAGGGGTGTGAGGAGGAGGGAAAGGGAGGCCGGGGTGAATCGAGTGGGCAGGATTTTGGGGGAGGGGGCAGAGAGTGGTAAGGGAGAGTGGTAAGGGAGAGTGGTAAGGGAGAGTGGCACGGAAGAGTGGCGAGGGAGAAGGGCGAGGGGGAGAGGAGAGGAAGACAGAAAAGGGGTGCTAAAACAAGTACAAGCCAATGAGCCACCATCACTGCCACCTCCTCGTCTAACCCTGCAGCTGCATTTCCATAATAACAACCACCCCCTTTCCCCCCAACTACCCCATGCCTGGGCAGAATCCTCACCTTCTTCCCCTTGAACTGCCCAGGAGCCTTCTGCTCCTCCCCCTTAGCCCCGTCCGCAACCGCCGCATCCCCCCCCTCTGCAGCAGCGCTGCCCTCCGCAATGGAGAGCGCCTCCAGAGCCGTCGTTTCTTCCTCGCTGGGGAACTGGGGCGGGTAGCCGTATGTGTCCATCTCCCGTGCAAGCTTGTCCGCACACGCCTTAATGGGCATGCCGGTGCAGTGGAATCCGAAGGGGAACAGCACGTTGGCTCCCCTCAGCCGGTGATACGCCGATGCAAACTCCACCTGTGAGAGGTGAGGGAAGATAGAGGGAGAGACGAGAGAGAGCAGCGAGATAGGACGGATGATGAGTTGTAGGGGAACAGCACGTTGGTTCCCCTCAGCCGGTGATACGCCGATGCAAACTCCACCTGCACGAGAGGAGAAAGAGAGAGAGAGTGGCACGAGTGAACAGTAAGATTGGAGGTAGAGGATGAGGGATGATGGGCTGTGAGGTGACCAGCACAGCACGTTGCGAACTCATTCTCACCTTGGAGAGAGTGAACGCATGGCCCAAGTGCAGCAGCCCGTTCATGTAAAGGTAGGTGAAGTTGCCAAGAAGCGGTCAACCCGCACACGTGCAGGACCCCCAGTGGGCTGAAACACAGGCCTCAGTGACTCAAGCTCACCTTGGAGAGAGTGAAAGCATGGCCCAGATGCAGCAGGCCGTTCATGTAGGGATAGGGGAAGTTGCCAAAGAAGCGGTCATCCCGCGGGCCCGACCCCGCAGCTGCGCCCTCCTTAGCCGCGGCCTCGAAAACCTTCTCCTCCTCCCACTGCTTCTGCACGGCCGCCTGGATCTGCAGCAGCAGGTCGCGACGCACGTGGCTCTTCGCACCTTCTTGAGGCTGCGCTTGTGAAGGCGGGGAGGGAAGATGACATGCAGAAGAGGAAGTGGGAGAGGGTGGAGAGACGCGCTTACGACGAATTAACGGAATCTGGCTGCCTGACGGAATGGCCTTAAAGTGAGGGGTTTAAGTTGCAAACGGGAGAGGTCTCAGAGGATTGGATGGGAGAAGCCAAGACGCATCATGACGGAACGATGATTGTAAGCGTATCCAAGGCCGATCAAGTGGTCGTGTGATTGGTGCTGGCTGCTTACTGAATCTGGTGAGCGAATCTAAGGACGATCGGGTGATTAGGCAGTCGAGTGATCGTGTGAACTGCGTTGGATGCTTGACTCACGAAACGACTCGAAGCCATCGCTGCGTAAATCGAATTCTAGCGACACTTGTCGAACCGCGAGTAAGTGGATTCAAGAAACCCTGCTGGAAGAAGTTACTTCGGTGACGAGTCAAAACGTAATAAAATACTCGAAATCCATGTTAGGTTTTGAAACTGGACAATACCATGATGCCGTTCTACTACCGTCTGCATACGACTCCCGAACTTGACTTGCCATCGCGAAGAACCTATTCCATCTAAACATGCCGACATTCGCGCGATTCGGAAACTGACATTGAATGCGCACGGATCAGACATGGCGGGGAGGAGCCAATGCAACTAACTACGCGTGCCTGATTCGCGAGAATGTCGGTTGAGTCTAGCCTGACAGGATATTAAAGTTGTTATCGATCTGTACCGGTAACGTTGATCACCCACCTCGCTGGAAGCTTTCGTGGTGGCTGGCGGAGCCATTGCAACTACCGCCGAAGAAGGACGCAATGCTAGTTATTCGCTCGAGGAGAGAGTATGATGACTCGTTCGCGGTGCCGCCCTTGCAGGTGTCAGGAAAGGAAGGACCAGAATGTCAGAATCGAGATATCAAAGAAACGTGACGTGATAACAGCCACTGCCCTGGGATTGCCGATCAGGCGAAGCTGAGTAAAACCCAAACCCGCGTACTACAGTAAGGGGAAAAGTAAAACTGCAGAAACAATTGATCTTACAAAAAATGGAAACAAAAGTACTCGGAAATAATTGGGAAAATCATGATAACGCTCAATACTACCCTCCAAGCTGATGTGATTGCAAGAGGTCTAGACTCCTGCACTGCACCAGTCGCACCTCTGACAGAAGCAACACAGCTTATCACAAGATTACATATTAAGCAATCAAGAGTCAAATTAGAGCAGTCATGCAGAAAAACAACTCAATCAATGTACTAGTCTAGGTCCAACCCTAAGCTGAGTTGCCCATAGAACAAAACAATACGTGCCAGAATTTTGCAGCTTTCTCTTGCTACTGCCTACCTCTCATTCTCCAGAAATCAAATGCATCCATGCCTCTCGCAACACACACCCACCTGCTCTGCTCCCTATTTTCCCCTGATACTCACCAGTCCCTCCCCGATACAGAAACTATAGCTACCCGGAGTAGCCATGCTGGTGTGGGATCAAACCCCCCTGTCCATTAAGACTTGTCTGGTTGACAGATGCCACACTACCCTGCTGGTTACCACCCAAACCATCTCCTCCCAAACCTCCGGCAGCGGTTCGGGTGAGCCTCGGCGGCTGGCGAGGCCGCCTCTTGTTCCCACCCGGGCCAGCAGGCCTGCCTTGGTAGTAGCCCATGCCTGGGTCCGAGCCTCCTCCAAACCTATTCCCATATCTCTGTGAGGCTGCCATACCTCCTGCCATTCCTACAGGCACAGCCCCAAGCTGTGAAAGGTAGACATTGGGAAGAGAAACAGGCACACCACCTGCTCCTACCATCCCCACTCCTGTTGCCTGTGCCATTGTCTGTGTCAGTGCTGCTGCTCCTGCCATGCTCCCTTGCACCAACACCCCACTCTGCTGCTGCCCTGGCACCCCAAGCACAGGCCCATGGAAAGGTGCCGGCTGCAGGGGAGGTGGGGCATGCTGGGCGTGTGTGTGCAGCAGAGGGCGAGAGGAGAGAGAGTGGGCGCTTGAGTGCGGCACAGAGGTTGAAGCCAAGCTGGTATTGCCAGAGATCAACGTGGTGTCTCCATCACCTAGAGTTTCTGGGAACCGATGATCATCAATTGCACTGGTGGTGGCAGTATTGTTGGCGGGTGCAGAAGCAGCGTCAGCAGCGGCAGTACTAGCAGTAGTAGCGGTGCTGTCACCTGCTGTTGCTGCAACAGCAGAATCTGTTTTGTCTACACCAACGCTAGGAGGAGGAGCAGCAGCAGCAGCAGCAGCAGCAGCAGCAGCGTCCCCGCTTTCCTTCACTGGGATTTCCTCCCCTCTCTTCTCGCCCCCTCCCTGGCTACCGTTCCCCAAGCCTAGCTCCGAACCTGGGCCGCTGGTATGGGAAAGCAGGGGCGGCGCTGGTGAGAGCGTTTGTTGAGTAGGCTGGGGTTGGGGGTGTTGAGAGGAGAGCAGGGCGGGCGGAGGGAACGGGAGCAGGGAATGACCCATGGGAGGGAACGGGGGTGCAGGGCCTACATGGGGAGGTGGAAACTGGGGAGGGTGTGGCCAAAGGTAAGGCATGTTCTGCTGCTGCAGGGACTGCTGCTGCTGTGAGGCCTGCAGAGAAGTGCGGGCGAAGATGAAGGAAGGTACACACGGCATGAGTGGGTAGCTCTACTGAAAGAAGTCAATGAGACTACGAACTTACGCACGCATGCAGCTGGTACAGCACAGCAGCAGCGCCATGCACGATACAGAAACGAGCTGAGAGAAGGAGCGAACTGGTAGCATCAACAGTACGATGCAAGGCAGGTGAAGCAGAAAAGCTCTAACTTTTTCTATGATTCTCATAAAACGGCAAAGACAGGTGAAGGAGGGAAAGCTACCTGTGAGTGGGGTGGTTGCTGACCGGGCACCATCACTGAATTTCCATCATATACCCTCTGCTGCTGCTGGTGTTGTTGCTGCTGCAGCTGCTGTTGCGCCTGTACGTTTTGCTGATGCTGCTGCTGCTGCTGCTGCTGCAAGTGGAGGTGCTGCTGCTGGTGCTGCTGGCGCTGCTGCTGGGTGTGCCCCTGCACCTGCTGCATCTGCACCTGCTGCTGCCGCTGCAGCTGAGTCTGCTGCTGCTGGAACCGTGGTGGGGGCATGACATTGCCCCGAGAACGATTCATGTTTGCATGCACTTCAAATCGAGAGTGCATTGTGTTCTGTGGTTGATCAGACTGCAACTGAGACTGACTACCTGACTGGTTGCCCCTTTCGCTCACCCCTCCCTGCTGCTGCTGCTTGTGCCGCTGCTTCTGCCTCTGCCTGCCTTTCTGATTACCTACCCCCCTGTGCCCCTCCTCTTTCTTCTCCTGCAGTGGTTGCTGCTGCTGCTGCTGCTGCTGCTGATTCCCCATGTGTGCTTGAATGCTTGCGTTCACATCATATGCCCCTTGGCTATACTGTGCCATAGGGAACCCCATTCCTGCCTGCCCCAATCCTACCTGCCCCATTCCTGCCTGTCCCAATCCCACCTGCCCCGCTCCTCCAACCTGCCCGAAATTTGTCTGGCCAATGCCTGCTTGCATGGGCTGACCCACCTGCCCGAACTGCCCGTTGGGAAAAGGAGGCCCAGGAAAGAGCATCATGGGAGGACCCGAGTGCATGGCATGGTTTGGCGTCACATGAGTTGTGTGCATGGCATGATTTGGCATGGCATGGCCGGGCATACCATGGGCCACATGAGGAAGCGCATGAAGCTGGGGCATGGGGAAATGGGGCAATGGCTGATGGGGCAGCATCCCCTGATGTGCCATCATACCCTGATAGTTAACCATACCTTGATTGCTCACCATACCCTGTGGGTTGACAATACCCTGATGGGGTACCATGCCTGGGAACACATGCATGGGACGGAAGCTTGGGGCGCCAGAAGGGGGCATGGCTGCTGCTGCTGTTGCTGGAAAGAGAGGCACAGCGTTAGCTGGAGGGAAACTATCACCTGGGGACGGTACCAGCTGCTGCCCCTCCTGCCGCTGCTGCTGCTGCTCATGCTGCTGCTGCTGCTGCTGCTGCTGCCCATCCTCCTGCTGCTGCTTCTGCGGCTGCTCCTGCTGCTGTTGCAGCAGCGGCTGATGCTCCTGCTGATGCTGGTCCAGCTGTAGCGTCACCACACCTACTTCAACCCCTGCCTTCTGTTGCTCCTCGTCTTTCTTATGCTGCTGCACTTGTTGCTGCTGCTCTTGCTGCTGCTGCTGCTGCTGCTGCTGCTGCTGCTGCACCTGCTGCACCTGCTGCTGTTGTTCCTGTTGCTGCAGCAGCGGCTGCTGCAACTCCAGCTGTGGCTGCTGTTCCTCCATCCCCTGATCTTCACGTTCCTGCTGCAGCAGCTTCTCTGGTAGCTCCAGCACCTGCTGCTGCGCTGTCTGCTGCTGTGCAGCCTGCTGCTGAGCTGGCTGCTGAGCTGGCGGCTGCTGAGCTGGCTGCTGCTGATTTGGCTGCTGCTGTGGCAAATGCTGCTCACAGCTCACAGCAGGGGTTCCAGCCACACGCCACTCCTGCCGCTGCTTCCCTGCCCTGTCGCCCCTGCCTCCCCTGCTGCCTCTCTGCCGGCCCTGCTTTTGCTGCCCCTTCCTCTGCGCCTGCTCTCCTTGCTCTCCCCCTTCCTGCTCTCCCTGTCCCTGCTGCTGCTGTTGCTGTTTCTGCTGCTCCTGACTACCCTGTTGCTGTTGCTGCTGTTGATGCGTCTGCTGGGGTTGCACCGGAGCAACGGCCGAAGCAACTACCACCGGAGCAACCACCGGAGCAACCCCCGAAGCAACCACCGGAGCAACCACCGGAGCAACCCCCGAAGCAACCACCGGAGCAACCACCGGAGCAACCCCCGAAGCAACCACCGGAGCAACCACCGGAGCAACCACCGGAGCAACCCCCGAAGCAACCGCCGAAGCAACCGCCTGAGCAGCCATGGGAGGAGTGACAAGTATCATGGAAGGTGGTGCCACAGCTGGCACAGCATGCGTGACAGGGATACCCCTTGATGCAGTTGCAGAGAGAAGAGCAGGAGTGGCTTTCACAGGCTCAGGGGCAGGAAGAGGAGGAGGAATCTGCATAAAACGAAACAAGAAAACAAGAAGAACAAAGAGCTGTTCGGGACAACAGGACGGGACAGAAACGCATGCTCCGGTCAAGGAAGAAGGACAAATTAAACTGGTCTTGCAAACATGCACAGGCTTGAAAAAGGAAGTCTGATAACCTTACCTGCTCGTTCGCTGCAGCAGCAGCAGCAATAGAAACCGTGACGGCAGTTTCAACCGAAGCTGTAGCAGCCATGTTTTGAGCCGACTCAAAACACGACTAGCAAGCTTACCTGCTCGCTGGCCGCAGCAGCAGCAATAGAAACCGTGACGGCAGTTTCAACCGAAGCTGTAGCAGCCATTGTGGCAGGGAGGGTCACACCAACCCCAGTGGTGCTTGCATTGACCGGGTGTTTGCGCTTCTGCTGCTGTTCCTTCACCTGCAGATTATAAAGATTTTAAAATTCAAGGAGACGGCAGGTAGAAACAGGACCACAGAATTACATAATAGGCAGAGGAGGAGGGAGAGTGGGGAGGGAACACGGCGGAAAAGGCAGGGAAGCGAAAGTGATACGGGAAATGCTAGGATAAGTACCCTATATGAGGCTACAAGTGCAGCATAGACTATTGCACTCACACGTTGCCCCCGTCTTCGAGCCTTCGCCTCCCGCTCTCTCTCCCTCTCCTTCTCCCTCTCCCTTTCCCTCTCCTTCTCCTTCTCCCTCGCCCTCTCCCTCTCCTCGCGCTCCCTCTCCCTCTGCTCCCTCTCCCGCTGCTCCCTCCGGCCCCGTTTCGACTGCACAGTAACAAACCCCTCATCATCCTCCCCCTCTCCATGCTCCACCCCTATCTGCTCAAACACCTTCACTATCCCTCCTCCCAGAGGCACCTCGGAATCCCCTAGACTCTCCAGCCTTGAAACCAGCCAGTCAAGCTTCGTATGCCCATGCCCCCCGTCTCTCCTCTCCTCCCTGCTTCCACTGCTCTTGCTGTCGCCAGCACCAACACCAGCTTCAGGAGCCTCTGTCCTCACACCTACCCGCTGCTTGCTGCTCTGCTGCACAGCCCTCCCCCCACCTGCCCCTTCCTTGCCCCCACCCGAATGCTTCCCCTTCCTCTCTCTGCCCCTAGACCCTGTGCGTCGTTCCACTTGGGGACCTCCTGGTGAAGCAGCTGGAGCAGAAACACCCGCTGCAGCAGCACCACTCGCTGCAGCTTTCCCAGATGCTGCGGTTGCTGCGTCTTCTTCTTCTGCTGCTGCTACCGTTGCTGAGGGGGACACATCCGTACTCAGACCAGCAGCATCAGCAGCTGAAGCACCATCTCTTGTTGCTGCACTAGTGGCTTCCTGTGACTGTGCTTCCACCGACACTCCTTCTGGCCCTTCTGGTGCTCGCACTGATGCTTTAACTGACGCAAGGGATACAGCTTCGGATGCGGCTTCTAATGGAGCTTCACTTGGATTCTTTCCTGCGGGAGGCGAGGTGGAGGAAGGGGAGGAAGCGGAGGAGGAGGCGCCAGAGAGGAAACCTAACGAGGAGAGGAAGGCGGTCGGGAACATGGAGAAGGGCCGTCGGATGCTCGCTGCAAGTTTTGACTGCTGCTGCTGCTGCTGCTTCTGCTGCTGCTTGTCTCCCTCACAAGCATTGGGCTCTGCCGGCTGAATCGCATCCCCATTTGCACTGACTGAAGGGTTTTTCTCACCTGCCCCCTCTTCCTCCTTGCCTTCCCCCTTAATCTCCTTCTCTTGCTGCTCCTTTTCTTCAACCCTCTCGTCCCCATGCTTCCCTCTCCCTTTCTCTACCTCCTCCCCCTCGGACTCACTCGTTGCAGCAGCACTCTCATAAGCACCTTCCACCTCTGACGCTCCACTGTCGGAACCACCTGAAAAAACACCTGAAGAAGCACCTGAAGCCAATTCACTTTCAGCATCTGCCAGATGCTCTGTTTTCCCAGGAGACCCAGCAGTCCCCTCAGGTGAGGACCCAGGCTGCCGCAACCCACTTGCACTGTCAGCAGCATCTGCAGCCTCAGCAACGGTTTCAGCCACAGTTTCAGAAACAGTTTCAGCTGAGGTTTCAACTACAGTCTCACTTTCAGTTACAATTTCAACGCCAATTTTGGCTACAGATTCAGGGGCCTGCTTCACCTGTGCATTACAATCCACCTCCACTCCTTTACCATCACCCTGCACTACAGTCACACCCTGAACTCTCAAACCCACCTCCTCTCTCTTCCCCGCACTCTCTCCTCCCCTCCCTCCTCTCTCCCCCACCTGCCTCCCCACCACATCCCCCCCTCTTCCCCTTCCGCCACCCCTCCTCCTATCCCCGCCTCCTCCCCTCCCTCCAATCCTCGTCCTCACCACCACACCATCACTCCCTCTAATCTCAGAATACCCTGCCCCTTGCACTTCCAAAAACTGCCCTACCCTCCCCTCCTGAACCCTCACGCCCTGAGCAACGAACCAAGCGGGAATCGTGCCTGCTGCCGAACCAGCCCCCGGAGCTACAGCCGAAGCTGTCATTGGACCAGCTGCCGCACCTGACACCGAGCCAGCCACCGGACCATTAACCGCACCAGCAGCCGAGGCTGCAAGTCCGGGTCGAGAAGTCATTCCAGGCACAGAAGGGGCAGTAGTAAGACCTTTCCCATGCCCCCCTGCTGCGAGTGCTTGCACTTGCGCCTGCCCTTGCGCCTGCCCTTTTACTTGCCCAACCTGCCCCCCTGCATGACCACCCCTCGATCCCCTTCCTCCCCTCGCCCCCCTACCACTGCTCACCCCAACAGCTGGCCCCGCTATTGCTGCTGCCACAGCTGCAGCTGCAGCTACTGCTGGTGGTTGTGTTGCTGCCGCTGCTACTGCTCCTTCTGTCCCAATCGCGACCCTACCTCCTACGGATTCTCCTTGCCTCAGTTGCTCCCTCTCCTTCCTCTGACCCCCTCCTCCCCGCCCCGCTGTTTCCCTGCGACCAGCCGCCTTCACAACTGCACCAGCCCCGTCCTTCTGCTCCACGCCTACCCTCACTCCCACCGCCACTGCTCCTGGTGCTGCTCCTGCTGCTCCTTCTCCTGCTCCTGCTCCTGCGCCTGCTCCTGCGGCTCCTGTCAATCCTCCTCCTCCTCCTGCTGCTGCTGCTCCTCCTCCTACTCCTCGCAGTGAAGCTGCTGCTGCCCCGCCACTGCCAGGGACGGCCGCTGAAACTGGAAGGGGCAGCAACGGCTCTAGAGGCACCACCTTTTGCACTGATTCTTCCTTCTGCTGCTGCTTGCCTCCTTGCAAGCCTATCTCTGAAACATCACGTCCAATGGTTTGTGGGCTAACATGCAGAGGAGGTGACACTGACGCTGGCACCCCAATCTGCCCGAACTGAAACATCGGCACAGGGCACGCTCCAGAACTTTCTTTCTGCCCGGGCTGCTGGGCGGGACCGCCAACTGTGAGAGGAACAGAACCAATCTGAATGACGAACGGGGCTCCAGACGAACGCGCTAGGGATGAGAGGAACGGCTTGGAAGCACTAGTAGCAGGTGCAGTGGCAGGTGCAGCCATTGTAGCAGATGCAACAGCAGGGGCAGTCCCGCTCCCCTTCTCTTCAACCCCACTTCCCCTCTCTTCACCGCTCACTGAAAGCTCCTTCCCCTCCGCTTCCATCACCAGCTGCTCATTTTTAACAGAATCCAACCCTCCATTCTCCCCCAGCCTCTCTTTCTCTCCTCTACCCATTCCCCCCATCACCTCCCCATCAAGACTACCCACCACCCCTTCCTCTCTATCAGACATACCCCCCTCTTCTCGATCAGACAGCAGAGCCCCCAATTCATTCACCACATCGGCAGGGAGACTCTCAGACTCACTCATTTCCGAATCATGCTCCACACCCATCCCCCCCATCACTCCCCTCTCCCTGCCCTCTGCCCGCCCTTCTCCCTCACCCTTCCCCGCCTGAAACCCTAAACTGCAAATCTGCTGCCCCGTCTCTCCCATTCCCCTCCTCTCATGCCCATCCCCCCCTCCTACTCCATTCAGTTGATTCGCCCAACTTTGCCCGTCTGCCCGTCCTGATCCTCCAGAAATTTCATCCTGCCCGAACCCTGCCTGCCCCTGCCACTGCTCTGCTCCGGGCTGCCGAGCCTGCCCGAGAAAAATACCCGGAGCAGGTTCAGGTCCGATCCTTCTCCAATCCATATACTGCCCGGACCCAGACTCTCCCCATCGACTGTCCCTCACAACCACCCCACCACCATTCCCCATCTCTGTCAATTGCTTTTGTCCCTGACTGCCCGCCTCTTTCCCACTGCCCGTCTCTCTCACACCACCCACCTCTCTCCCTCCAATATCTTCCCTTCTTTGGTGCCCTACCCTGCCCGCTGCCACACCACTAACTCCCCCTTTTCCGCCTCCTGCTCCTCTTCCTCCTGCTCCACCCCCTGCACCTCCTCCGGCTGAAACTGAATTCACAGTACCCACTGACCCTACTGCTCCCACTTGTCCCACTGCCCCCACTGCTGGGGTATTGTCAGAAAACGAGGGAAAGCCGCGCCCAGCATTCCCATGGGCGAGAAACCCAGGAGCAAGCCCAGGCGGCCGGTGCAGCAACGGTGGCTGCTGCTGCTGTTGCTGCTGCTGCAGCTGCTGGTGCTGCTGCTGCTGCTGTTGCTGCTGGTGCTGCTGCTGCTGCTGCTGGTGCTGCTGCTGTTGCTGCTGCTGCTGCTGCTGCTGCTGCTGCTGTTGCTGCTGCCCCTGCAATGGCTGGTGAAAGGGGTGGGGTTGCACATGCTGCTGCTGCATCGCAGGGAAGTGAGGGTAAGGTGGGGCGAACTGATGGGTGCGCAATAGAGGGCCTGGGCCAGGAAAACCGTACGGAGGAAACGAAAGCCCCTGCACCTGCTGCTGCTGCTGCTGTTGCTGCTGCTGCTGGTGCTGCTGCTGCTGCTGGTACTGCTGCTGATGATGCTGATTCCACGGCAATAACCCAAGACCGCCGCCGTCTGTGCCTTCACCAGTCATACGAACCCCAGCGCCCTCGTTAGTCCCAGCAAAAGGCCCTTCCGTGCGAGTTGTAGAGTCAAAGAAACGCTGAGTACTTGCGTGATTGCCTTGCTGACTCGCGTCTTGCTGTCCCTCGCCCATCCCTTTGTGCCTCGCATCCGCACTCGCGTGATAGAGTGGTGGGACAGGGGCGGACTCAGCCATAGGCCCCACCTGCTGCTCCTGCTGCTGCTCCTGCTGCTGCTGCAGCTCCTGCTGCTCTTTCTGCTGCACCTGCTGCTGTGCTTTGTGCAGGTTCAGCTGGGAGTCGCCTCCTTCCCCTGCCTCTCCTACTCCTTCTTCCCCTCCCTCAACCCCGCTTCCTCCCTCTCCCGCGACCTGCTTCATCTCCTCTTGAAACCTCTCCCCACCCACCTCTACCACTTCGCTCCCTATCGCTTTTTCCTCACCACAAACCCCCTCGCGATCTGCCCACGTGGCACATTTTGCCACGTCAGCAATAGTTCCATTCTTCTCGTCCTTATCTGCTATCTCTTGACCGCTCTCAGCTCCACGACCAGCAGCTGCAGCCTCTTGAGTCGACTCAGAAGATTCCTGGATGCTGCCACCACCACGATCAGCGGGTTTAGCCCCAATTGCAGCTGCTTCCGAACATTCTGGCGCAAATTCTCCTTTCTGCTCATGCTGCCCCTGCACCTGCACCTGCCCCTCATGTTCTTGGCTCTCCCCAAGCAACGCACTCTTTTCCTCAAGACTCGACTCCGCCACACTCACCGACACCCCACCCTGCTGCTCCAGCCCAGCACCACTCAGCACCCCACACTGCTCCTCCCCCTCTTTTCCTTCCTCCTCGTCTTTCCCCTCCTCCCTCCTCTTCCTCTCCTCCTCCTCCGCCTTCCTCCTCGCAATCCTTTCTTCCAACTCAACCAGCTTCCTCCTCGCATTCTCCTTCCTCCTCTCCTCCTCCTCCTGAATCCGCCGCTTCTCCTCCTGCACTCGCCTCCTCTCCTCCTCCACCCGTCTCACCGCCTCCTCCTCCACCTTCGCCCTCCTCGACGCCTCCCTCTCCCCTTCCTCCACTCTCCGCCTCCTCTCCTCCTCCTCTCTTCCCCTCCTCATCGCCTCCTCCTGCTGCTGCCTCGCCACCTCCGCCGCCCGCTGCTCCTCCTCCTCCTTCCTCACCTTCTCCTTATCTTTCTGCGACTGCAACCTCTCTATCTCCTCTTCAAACCGCTCTCTTTCCACATCTCGAAATTCTGACCGCCCACCCTCGCCCTCCAATCTCTTTCGCCGCAGCTGCCCTAGCATACCAAGCCCAAGGATAGGCGGAGGCTCAACCCCTACACGTGGCAGGGACTGTAATTCCATTCTCGGCCCATGGGCAAAAACTTCCGGGCCCATGCCCCTCCCTCCACCTTCCCGATTCGGCCTGAAACCCTGACCGGGACCAAAACCCTGACCGGGCCCAAAACCCTCACCAGGCCCGAATTCTTGACCGGGGCCAAAACCCTGGCCTGGCCCGAAACCCCTGGCAAATTCCTCCCTCGGACCATAGCCACCGCCACTGCCCCCTCTGCCTCTCCCGCCATCCCCCATGGGCCCGTACCGCTCATACTCACCCGGGAAAGGCGGCCCTGGCGGTCCCCCTGCTGGTCCGAACCCTGGCGCCCCTAGCAGTCCTGGCGGCCCTGGCGGACCTAACGGCCCCGCCCGTCCCGCTTGTCCCGGTGGGCCTAGCGGAGGGCCTCGGGGGTCTCGGGGACCCGGGGGACCTGGGGGGATTGCGGAACCTGGCGGACCCGGCGGACCTGGGGGCCCTGGGGGACCTGAGGCGCCTGGACCCGGCCCTCTTCCGCCTCTCCCCGCGGGTGGCCGTTCCGCCCATCCGCGCGCGTCCTCCCTGCGCCACATGGCCGCCTCGCCATGCCGCGGATCACCGTGCCACTCCCTGGCGCCATTTCTCGGCCCATAATCGCGAAATCTCTCTCTAGAGTCCCATCCGTTAATATGAAAACCCCCCGGGTCTCCACCCATAGGGGGACCATAATTGTCGAAGTGACCCCTAGGACCGTCAAATCTGTGCGGATAAGGCATTCTTCCCCCGGGCGGCGGATAAGGGGGTTGGGGTGGCGCAAGGTCCCGCTCATCGTCTGCCCATGCTCTGCGCGGGGGGGAAGGTCGGCGGAAGCCTCCCCCCGGTGGCGGACCGAACCGATTCGGCGGAAGCATGCCATCGCCATGCCTGCTCGGTCTCTCGTTCTCCTTATAACGGGGATGTCTGTCCATCCTGTCCGCACCAAAAGTAGCGGAATCGCCAAAAGCCTCATCTCCTTGGTTTCTAGAAAAAGAGTCCGGCGCCTTGTTAGGCTGTGATCCGGACAAAGGATCTCGTTCGTTCTGCTCGTGATCCGACTCTTCGTCACCCCATCGGCCACTGGTAACCCGTTTCGTCGCCGCATCGCTACCCTGGGACCGTTCCGTCGCCCGACCTGCCTCGTTCCCTCCGCCGCGCTCCTGCGCCGATCGCGACAACTCATCCCCGTTATTAGCCTCAAACGCCTTCGCCTTCTTCTTGCCCGACTGCTCCTTACCGCGTCCGACGCTTGCGGAAACACTGCTTGCTGGCTTCTTCGTCGCATCGTCCAATGAGGGAAAATCTTCCCCGCGTAAAACAATCCCGGTGTTGCCCACTGTCGGAACAGCTGACGTGGACGCTGACGTGGCACTGCTACCGCCACGTGAGCCTGGTGGTTGGTACACCCCAGGTCGGTGCGCCGAGGAGGCGCGATTCGGCTCGGCTCCGGACACCGCTGCCGCTGCTGTTGCTGTTGCTGCTGATGCTGCTGAAATTGGGGGAAAGTCGAAACCTTGAGGAGGAGGGGAGAGCGAGACGCATCGCCGCGCCTCGTGTGTCGCACCTGACGAACGAACTGCTCCTGATAATCCTGCTGCTGCTGCTGCTGCTGCTGCTGCTGCTGCCGCTGATGCTGCTGTTGCTGATGCTGATGAAGATCCTGAGAGTGAAGGAGCAGTTGCAGGTGTACCTTCTCCGTTTGGCTTCCCTCCTAGGGGCCTCTGCCATCCTGAGACTGTACTGCTTGCGGGAACAAGTGAGACGGACGGATCGTTGCCCGCGTGCTCCCGACGCAGCGACGGCAAGTTGACCGGCTTCGGCACGACCAGCTTCGCGCTCTTGCTGGCCCCTAACGCGCTGGGGGTTGCAACCTTCCCCAGCACCATCATGCTCCCGAACGATCCTGACCGTCCGAATCTGGATCCGACGGCTGTGGTTTGCCCGGCACCGGATTGCGACTGGGATGAGCTCTGCCTCCCGAAGGAGCTGTTGAGATTGACGCTCGTGAATTTGCTGCGACCCGACATGGCGAAATGTTACTGAAAGATACGATACTGAGAAGTGAGATCTGATCTGCTGTACGATTAAATGAAGAAATCTTGTATGATCTTTGCGCGAGCATGCGCTATCAAGAACCTCTCAGCGAATGGCTGACTTAGCACGTGAACCTCGCAAGGATAGCAGCGGTGGAGACAATGAAAACAAACAGGCTGCTTCTGTCTTAGAAACTAGTCTTCAACCGCAAGGAACAGAATAACCTGTGAACGGCAAGATCGCCTTTTATGAATTCAATAATCACTGCTCATGGACAAGAATTGATCGGATTGGACATGGATCACAAACCTACGCGAATCGTTCTAGCTAACTTGGTGCACCGAAACTGATTATTGGTGTTTCTCAGGCATTTCTGGGTTTTACTTCTGTTGCTTTGCTTCTGTCTCCAGAATCCGGATCAGCCTAGTTTCGCCGTTCTTGTTTCTTGCAACAACCACCATGGCATGGCATGGTGCGATCACCGCACAGCATGGGCTCTTCTTCCCCTTGCCTTTCCCCATCCCTACCCGGCAATTTTCCCGCCAGAATCTAGGGTCAGGAAAATCTCGAGGTTGACGGGAAGAAGCGGAACCAACCTGCCCAAACATACTTCGAGGTGCTATACACTCGGGAATTTTTTTCGTGGGGTTGCCTGATCAAATTCGCTACGCACCTTTGCGGTTGGCCTGCTGTTTTCCCGCCAGCGACACCGACCTGACAGACGTGCTTGGGGCAGGTGGATAGGTCAGGTCTGCCACCGAATGTTCTTCGCAATCCGAAAACTCCTGCGCGTTCGCGCTACAGCCGGATGCATTTCTCTCTACATTCTATATCCCACTGAATTACTTGCACTAAAGTCTAAAGTAGACAGCGTTCACAGGCTCTATATATTTCTAGAGCATGTTGTGTAGGATAGAGGCCCAACTCAAGACGTCAGTCCCTAACTACTGCTACTTACCTAGACCTATGCAGATTAATCTGCTCCTATCGAGTCCATCAAGCTAGCCGCGTTTTGATTCCTAAGCGGTTGACGCGCACCCGGATTGGATCTTCGTCTTCCTCCAGAGGCAGGTGTTTTGGAAACATGAACGTTGCAGCTAGGCGGAGCTTCGTGTGCTTGCCTAACTTAACCACCTGCTCGTCAAACTCCAAACCTGTAGCACAGAATGGGACAAGGCAGCATGTGAGGCCAAGGGGCTGTGAACACCACAACTATGAAATAATTCTATATGCTGTGAGTTTATGTGAGGTCCTGAAAGATGCTGTAAGATGCAGCAAACAAGCCTCGGAACATACCACCAGGAGATAGATGAAATCCCGTGCCGATGGGGTTAAAGAGGTTCACCGACAGCCCGACTCCAGCTGCTCGGTCCCAGAAACGATCAAAAGAACGCAGAGGCAGGCTGCAGTGGTGGGATGGGGAGAGAGGGGGGTGGTGATATGCTATGAATCACAGGCTCGGATATGCACTTTGGTTGAAGAGGTTCACCGACAGCCCCACTCCAGCTGCCCGGTCCCAGAAGCGGTCAAAAGAACGCAGAGGCAGGCTGCAGAAATGAAGGGGGGAGCAGCCAGATGGAGCACGGAGATGTGCTGCGAATCACATGCTAAGATGTGCTCACAGAGCACGGCGTCAGACAAATCACATGCTAAGATGTGCTCACAGAGCACGGCATCAGACGAATCACATGCTAAGATGTGCTATGGGGTTGAAGGCCTACTGACATGCTCACAGCCCCACTCCAGCTGCCCGGTACAGAAGCAGTCACAGGAATGCATTGAAAGGCTTAAAGCCCCCATTCAGGCACTCATCGCGTCCTCCTGCATACCACGTACAGCACTGTTCGCTCACTCACTCGACTCACTCACGTGTAGCGAACATCAAGGGCGACGTTGGTGGTGCCGAGCCTCCACTTCCACCGAAGCTCAATGTCAGGTTCGGGAAGCAGGTGCAGGGCCACGTTGGGGGTTCGGATCCTCAGCTTTGGCTCCAGGCGGCTCCCATTCACCTCGTAATTAGCACCGACTGCACTTGCATGTGCATGCATGCAAGGTGTGTGTGTGTGTGCGTGTTGTGTGTATGTATGGTGTGTAATGGTGTATGTATGGAGGGAACAGAAGGACAGGATACAGAGTTGAGCCCATATGGAAGCCTCGGCTTCCCTGTCTCTTTTATCCAGACAATCCCAGATCTGCATCAGCTTCAGCCGCGCCCCCTCTCCATACACAGCTGTATCCAAAGAACAGAACACTAAGCCATCCAAAGGGATGCTCAGCTCACCTCCAAAGCTGAGCCCGTACGGAAGCCTGGGCTTCCCAGTCTCCTTATCCGGAAAGTCCCAGATCTGCATCAGCTTCAGCCTCGCCCCCTCCCCATACAACCCATGATTAATTCCCTGGATCAACCCCCCCTCCTCGTCCTCATCCCGCCTCCTCCCCCTCCCGCCCTGCCTCCGCGCCCGCCACACAGGAGAGCTATCCCTCGCGCCAAAGTAGCTTCTGCTCAAGCGGCCCGGCCCCCTCCCATCGTCATCGTTATCGTAGTAGCGGCGGCGGCGATGGGAGGTGGTGATGGGACGCACGACGTCGACGTGCGCAACGGTGTGTGAGAAGGACCAGATGTAGCCTGCGGCTTTGCCAAAGACGTTCATTAAACGGTCCTGCACTGTCTCGTATGCCACTACCCTGGGATGGGAATCAATGAGCGAGAGGAGAGGAGGGGCAACGGTGTGGGAGAAGGACCAGATGTAGCCCGCGGCTTTGCTGAACACGTTGAGTAATCTTTCCTGCACTGTCTCGTATGCCACCACACTGAGAGGGGAGGGAAGGGGGAAGTTGGGGCGGATGATGTCAACATGTGCAACACGTGCACGTGTGGGAGAAGGACCAGATGTAGCCTGCGGCTTTGCGGAACACGTTCATATGGCACATGGTCATGCCATGGTCCCCACATGGTCATGCCATGGTCATATGGCACATGGTCATGCCATGGTCCCCACATGGTCATGCCATGGTCATATGGCACATGGTCATGCCATGGTCCCCACATGGTCATGCCATGGTCCTCACATGGTCATGCCATGGACCTCACTTAGTCATGCCATGGTCATGCATACCCACCGTCCATCAGGCATAACTTGATGGTGCACATGAGGTCCCATCATATAGCCATCGCCACTTGAGGAGCTATGGTCCTTACATAGTCATGCCATAGACATGGATACACAATGAATACCCACCGTCCATCAGGCGTCATGTGATGGTGCACATGTGGTCCCATTGGTACACCCAAGGTGCAAAAATACGGTTTTCGTAAATTACGGTCCGTTTTTTACGGTTCGTTTTTTACGGTAAATTTCCAAAAATACGGCGTTTTTTTGTTAGAGAACTCTTGTCACCAAGAAAAAACAGGCAAAAACAAGGTCGTACACATTTTCAATCATGCCCACACATGCACACATGCAAGGAGGGGTTCGTCCTCTTCATCCTGGTGATTTTCGCCATCAATTTGGTCCCATAAAATGACCGATTTTTTCTTCAAACAAAAATCACCTTCTGGAACCGTTTTTTACCGTTTTTTACGGTACCGTTTTTTACAGCCGTTTTTTACGGTAAATTTTCAAAAAAACGACGTTTTTTTGAACCTTGGGTACACCATCGACCCTTGGGGAGCCACGGTCCTGACATGGTCATGGCATCGTCAAGGCATGGTCATCACATAGTCATGCCATGGCCATGCCATGGTCATGCCATGGTCATGCATACCCACCGTCCATCAGGCGTCACGTGATGGTGCACATGAGGTCCCATTGGTACACCATCGCCCTCCCCTCCCACCACTCCTCCTCCCACTACTCCTCCTCCCGTGTCTCCAGCTGCCATCCCGCTGCTGCTGATGCCGCCACTGCTGCCATTGCCATTCGCTCCTATCCCCCCTGATACCCCTGATACTCCTGATCCGCCTGTGTTTCCTGACCCAAACACGCCGAGGAACTTCCCCTGAGAGTTGGCTGAGGCGGGACTGCTAGGAAAAGAGAGAGCAGGAGTGGCGGAACAGGGAAAGAGGGAAACAGGATAGCTTGAAATTTTGAAGTGTCGCTGCACTGATCCTGACTGATCCTGATGCACTTGCACAAGGAACACCTGACCGGAAACTCTTCAGTCTAAGTTCTAATATACTTTTCTCGAGGTCTTGGAATGGGAAGAAGGGAGGGATAGCGACCGAAGTTGGCGGTTCTAGTCTAGTCTCATGCCCGCGACAGTGCACCACCCAAGGTTTTTTATTAACCTGTGAAGGAAGAAAAGATCAAAATACACGAGTGCAGCCATGCTGCAGCTCAACCGGAATACTAACATCTTAGAGTCAATGCGCGAAGAATAAAAAGGTACCGCGGTGACCTAACAGGAAGGATGCTGAAGAATGGAAGCGGATGAGATGAGACTACTAATTTACTAGCGACCGGGTGCTGACGGTGATGCTGACTAGTCATGGGAGATTCCGTTTTGAGACCAAGAGGCCCGGGAATTTAGGAGGACTTCTCAAAACGGTCGTACCTTTTGGGGGAAGGTGACCAAGAGCCCGGGGACTTGGGAGATTCCGCCATGGGCTCGAGGGTCGGCGGAAGTCTGTCTGTCTTTTTCGTGTGCGTGCGTCTTGTATAATAGGAACGGATCTCTGAAACGATGCTGACGTCAGGAGTTGGTCAGCGTCTCATGTCGCATCAGCGGATATTCGCGGGTTCGAAATTTCGGCAACGGCTAACTAACGCGCGTTTCAAAACGGAATCAAATACAAGAATCGCAAGCGGCTGCTCGGGCAACCGGGTGTTATTAGGAGCTAGGAGCTAGTAGAACCGCATTCTGGCTTGGACTGAACTGCTGTGCCACTGCATTGCCAACGCAAATCCTGAAGTTGACCAGCGTGACATTTGGCTATTTCCTGATATCCTCGTTTCGGATGATCAGCGCTACGAGGTATTGAAGCTGATGTTTCCTTTTCACCTTATCAGAAAAAGGCATTTGCTTGTTTCCATCCTACATTGCAGCAAACTGACATCTGTGGGTAAGTAATCTAGAACAACCATCTTGGGGTTCCTGAATAACTATATGCCTCCCCACATTGATTGGGGGGAGGAGAACTAACGGTACACCAGAGCACAACAAAATTGTTAAACCAACTTAAGCATGAGCATGCTCCCCATACTGCATACACAAAGGACAGGAGGGAAACAGTGAGAGCTAGCAGCATAGCATGGTTTCAAATCAGCCCGTATGCAACCAGAGCAAAAGGTGACACTACCACCACGATAGTGTGACACTGGCAAATCAACTCGGCACGACATGGACTTTTACCTTGGCGCTCTTGTAAAGCTCATCGATGACCTCAGAGAGAGTTGGGTGCGCGTGGACTGCAAACTTGATATCCTGCACAGTATGAAAGGCATGTGGTGCGCATAGCATGCAACGGTGCACATGGGTAGACAGAATGACGCAGATGGCATGTAGGTATTTCAACCACTGTCCTAAGCTTGAAAAAGAAGAGCGTTGAAGCAAGAAGTTGAGTAACCAATAGACCAATAGTTGAGTAACCAATAGGCCAACCTAACTTTCCTTTGTACGTACATAGAGAGTGACCAATGGGCCAATCTAACTTTTCCTTTGTACGTACGTTGAGGGTTTGGCCGGTGGCCATGGCATTGGAGACCTCGTGAATCAGGTCAGCAGCGTGCAGCCCCAGGATGTGCACGCCCAGGATCTCCCCCGTGTCTGGGCGATAAATCATCTGAAGAAGGTAAAAGGTACATGATACAGCAGTAGAGGGAGGGGGCACGGAATGAGGTCAGCTCCGTGCAGCCCCAGAATGTGCACTCCCAGGATCTCCCCAGTGTCTGGGCGGTAAATCATCTGACAAGTGAGGAGAAATGTAGGGGTTGCAGGAGAGGAATAGGGTATGTCAGTGTCTAGAAAGGTCAGCCGTGTGTCTAGACAAGCTTCCTTACTTGCACATTGTATAGACAAGCTTCCACTACACGCTCATTCTAAGCATTACCAACCTAGCCAGGCCATCGGACTCGTTCTCTGCCAGCGCCTTGGTGAGTTGGCCTTGAAGCTGAAGCGTCCTCCTCCCTTATACCCCTAGCTACTCCCTCTGCCATTCTCTCACCTTTCCCATCCCTCCCCCTCTACGCTCCACAGTTCCCACCTTGGCCAGGCCGTCGGACTCGTTCTCTGCGAGCGCCTTGGAGTTGGCCTTGAAGCTCGTCTTGTCAAGTAGGAACCCTTCTCCCCCATTTAAGCCCTTTTACCAATCCCTCCACACCTTTCCCTTACCCCTACCCCTACACCCACCTTCAGATCATTACCCACCTTAGCCAGGCCGTCGGACTCGTTCTCTGCCAGCGCCTTGGAGTTGGCCTTGAAGCTCGTCTTCGCCACACTCACTTCAAAGCCCTCTATTTCCGCCCTCTCTCGTGCCTGGGGCTGGTGGCGTGCAAGGGGGGGAAAAATAGGGTGCACAGAGAAAACAGCAGACCAAAAGGAATTGGGTTCGGTGACTCGGGGTGAGTGAAGCAGGCAGCAGGCATTGAGACGTTTCGAATCCAAGCTTCCTTCCCCTTCTGTCCTGCCTCTCACTACCCCTGTGAGCCTGACCCTGCCGATCTTGGTGTGAATAAAGCAGGCAACAGGCCTTGAGACGTCTCAATACCCAGACCGTCTTCCCCTTTCTTTCCCCCTCCGCCCCTGCCTCTCTGACTCACCTCTGTGAGGCCGACCATGCTGATCTCGGGGTGCGTGAAGCAGGCGGCGGGCACGGAGAGGTGGTTGAGCACGTTGCTGTTTCCCTTAATGTTCTCCACCACCGATATGCCCTGCGCACTCGCCGCATGCGCCAGCATCAGCTTGCCGTTGGCGTCGCCGATGCAGTACAGGTGGGGAATCTGGGAAGGTGAATGGGGGGGAGGAAGAGGGGAAGGTGGATGGGAGGGAGGGAGAAACCGAAGGGCGGGAGTGCGGAGGGATGCTCAGCCCGATTGCATGGATGGAGGGAGGGAATGGGGGAGGTTAGGGAGGAGTTTCTCTTTGTGGACACACAGAAAGTTGCGATTGTCGTAGGTGCAGGGAAGACGTTGAGGGGCTTGGGCATACATGATGGGACGCAATGGGATGGGATGGGATGGAACATATAGTGCTTACCACGTTGCCTTCAGAGTCGAGCACTTGCATGGTCTCATTGACAGGCACGAACCCACGGTTTGTGGTCACGTTCACCTGCTCACATGTACATGATGAGGCAGTGGTGATTAGGGGCCAGTCGGTAGCAGAGGGACATATGCACGTGATTTCAGGATCAAGCCATGCCATCACACGTTCAATACCAATAAACAAACAACCATCCTCTCAATTTTGAGGCTTGCAATAACATTCTCAGCACCAATGGACGCACTCACATTCTCAAGACCAAGCCCCTTGGTGAATGGCGCTCGGCCAGTGGCAATCAGAGCCGCATCAACCTGGGAGTGGAAGAGAGAGACAGGAATAGGACGGAGCACGGAAGGGGTGGAGGCGGGAGGGGAGGTGAACAAAAAGGAGGTGAGGGTGAAGATCGGCCTGAAACGGGCAGGAAAGAGGGGATGAAAGTGAGGGGGGCGAACAGCAAGATATGAAGGTAGCATATTCCAGCAACACAGACTTTTCTTCATCCATTGGTCTTCACTCGTGCTGCCACGCTTTGCACTAACTTCTCCGTCCTTTCCCTCTCCTTCCCCGACCCCTCTCTACCATGCACTCCCATGCCTTCCTCTCTGCATCACCCATCTCTTGAGTTTCAATATACTCCTGTTTCAGTCCCGCCTCCCCACTTCCATTCTACTCCTCCCTCTTGGTCCTAAAGCGCCCATGCAAACAGAGGTACATCTTCTTCGCCTCATACCGGAATCTCCTCACTTATCTACCTCTTGGTCCTAAAGTGCCCAGTAACAGTACTCGCCTCGAGAGTCTCCTTGTACTCCCTGGTCTTGGTGTCCACCAGCTCGATCTGCACTAGCTTGCTGTCCTCTCCCGTATCCCCTTCTCCTCACCTCCACCCAGCCATCCCTCTGCCCTTACTGAATAACATCTTCTCTGCTCTCTCCGCCAATCTCACCTCGAGCGTCTCCTTGTACTCCCTCGTCTTGGTGTCCACCAGCTCGATCTGCACTGGCTTCCCGTCCCGAGCAGGGGTGATCTGAGACGAGAGGAGAGGGGGGTGGAGGAGGGGCGTGGGGGGTAACAAACCAGTGACGTAGCGAGCACAAGAAACAAAGACAGAGTGAGTTGAGTACACACAAGTACCACTCCGGTCTCATAGCATGATTGAGACCCTCGTTGACACTCCCAGCCCACACGCTTTCTTGGCTAGCAACCCACTCAACTTACCATCTCAACCGCCCTCGCCATGCGCCTTCTTGGCGAGCTCGCCGTCTGCGAGGGGTGATGAGCACCCTCTGCGCCAGCTTTACTGAGCCCCTCACCACTCGCAGCCCACTCACCTAGGCTCCTCCACCCCCCCTTTCCCCCCGTTTTCTTGCCTCACAGCCCCCTTTCCACCTTTTTCCCTCTCTCCACGCACCTTCTTGGCGAGCACGCCCGTGTGGTAGTCGATGCTGCGCGGGTTGATGAGCACCCTCTGCGCCAGCTTGCCAATCTCAGGGTCGAATCCGGGCATGATGATGTCCAACGCCTCGATGAACGTCACCTGAGGAGAGGGGACGGGGAGCGTGGGGGGGTGAGAAGAAGAGGGAGCGGACGTACAACGGGGAGGAGATGAGAAGAAAGAAGATGAAGACGAAGGGAAGAAGGACGGCCGGAAACCAATCTATGAGCTCCAATCCAACAAAAACAATCTCTGTCCTGCCCACAATGGCCATCCAGCTTGGTTCATGCGGCACCTCAAATCCAGCTACGCACCTCAGCACCGAGAGCAGTGTAAACATCGCTGAACTCGAGGCCGATGTAGCCGCTGCCCACAATGGCGATCCAGTCGGGAATCCACTCCAGCTTCAGGGCCTCGTCGCTCGTGAACACCGTCTTGCCTGGTGCAGTCAGGAAATCGGACGATTGGGAATGGAGCACAGCAAAGGGTAAGGTTAATACTCCAACGGCAGCCCAGACAGGCGTCCGTTGAGTTTTACGGCCTGGTGAACATCCACTTGCCAAGAGGCGCGGATCGAGTGAGTAGAAAGCACGATCAAGCCATGACCTCACGCGACGGAGCGAACGTCACAGCCCACTATATGCACGCACACAGCACAGTGACCACCACGTTGAACAGCCTACAGCGCGCCGAATTCGCCATGGCGCGAAATTAACCGGGAGGCGCAATCCGACATGCGCAGAACCACCGAGATGCGCCAACTTTCATATGCAAAGCATCCATCAAGCACAATCCTACATAGCGCGGAACTTACCGTCGACCTCGATGCCGGGGGGCACGAAGGGCGTGGAGCCGGTGGCGATGATCACGTCCCTCGCCGTCACCGTCTTCTCCGCCGCGCCCGGCTTGCCGTACTTCACCTTCTGGGGGGTCTGTTGAGCGCGCAATGGGACGAAAGAGGGTCAGGTTATA